CAACAAAAACGAGCAGCACGTATTCGTCGTTTAAATAAACCTGAACAACGAAATTCACCAGGTAGTGGTGGTTCATCTGAAACTGTTTTACGTGGTATGCGTGAAACAGCTAAACGTAAACATGCATTAGATTCAAATACAAGTAATAATGGACATTATAATGATAATGAAGAAATAGCTGGTCGTCGTTGGGATGAACAAATTGAACGACCACAATTAAATTATAGTGAATTTTTTGATGGTGCTATTGGTCATATAGCTGGTATAACATGTTGGGAAATCGAAAATTTTCTTCCCAAACAATTAGAACGTCAATTAAATGGTACATTTTATACAGGTGATTGTTATATTATATTACATACAATGGTTGAATTATCGGGTAATACAGATTGGAATATTTTTTTTTGGATTGGACAAGATGCAACGGTAAAAAAATTCTAAAAATTTAATTTATGAGTTTTTCTTGTATTTTTAATTTAGTTGGATAAACAAGCATGTGCAGCAATGCATGCTGTTAATTTACGTAATATGCTTGGTGCATCATGTCGTACTCAACGTGAAGAACAAGGAGATGAATCAGATGAATTTTTAACTTTATTTAATCATCATCTACGAGTAATTGATGGTGCTAGAACAGAAACTGGATTTTGGGTTGTACGAGATGTTGTAAGTACACTGAATTTATTATTCAGTTCATATTCGTTTAGCAAATGCTTTTAAATATCAATTTTTCTAAGCCGCGACATTCATTTAAAAAGTCGGTTGACTTCCTTCATGAGAAAAATGCTCTGATACAAAATAAAATTTTTCAATATTGTTTGTTTCTTTTTTTTTATGATAAATAAATATAAGAAAATGAAACACCGACTAAACGAATACCTAATTGATTAAAGATAAAACATATTCTATTTTTAAGGAACATCCAACACGTTTTTATCGTGCTAGTGGTACTCAAAAACTTCATGTTGAACTTGTACCAATTGAAGCAACATCTCTTGATTCTCGTTATGTATTTTTTCTTGATATTGGACCAAGACTTTATATATGGAACGGTAAAAAATGTAATAGTATGACAAAAGCTAAAACACGGTATCGAAGTTTTTTTTTTCGTTTAGTTTTTTGATTGAAAATAATTTTTGTTTTTTCTTTGTTAAGATTATTTGTTGAAAAATTAAATAAAAGTGAAAGAAAAGGTCTTAGTGAATTAATACAAATAAATCAAGGTGAAGAAACAGATAAATTTTGGAAAGAATTAGGTGGTAAACCACAAGATTTTCAAGTAACTAGTCATGTAGCCAATGATTTTGTTCCATCAAGATCTATTCTTTATAAAGTTGATCTTGGACAAGAATTTATTGAATTACCTCAAGGTTAATAGAACGTGTTTTTCTTTTTTGTAAATTTTATTTTATTTTTTATTTTTAGTTGAACTTGAACCAGGTGGTTTTCTTAAAAAAGAATTATTACATACAAGAAATATTTATATTCTTGATTGTCATACTGAATTATTTGTTTGGTAAATTAAATGAAGAAAAATATTGTTTTCTCTTATTTATATATATATATAGGATTGGTAAAAAATCAGCACGACTTGTTCGAATGGCAGCAACTCGTTTAGCATGTGAATTATTGTCAATGATTCAACGACCACCACATGCTGTCATTACGAAAACACTTGAAGGGTAAATTGATTCTTTTTTGTTTTGGATTATTGATTTGAATATTTTGCTTCTAGAGCGGAAACTCAAGTATTTAAATCAAAATTTGATGCTTGGGATGATGTATTAGCTGTAGATTTTACTCGTACAGCTGAAAATGTATCAAAGAAGGGTGCAGATATGAAGGTTTGTATACGATGAAAGATAGTTTAAATATTGATAAATCTATAAAAATTGAATGTAAAATAAGGCTTCATATTTTATTTATAGAAAATTCTTCAAGAAAATGAAATGAAAACAAATTTAACAGCTCTATTCAAAAATCGTCCACCATGGCAAACACGTCAAGCAGCTCAAGAAGCTCTTGAAGATTGGAATATATTTTTACTTCAACCATTTTCTATGTTTGTTTACGAAAATAAAAAATTTGTTAAATTACCTGATGATGAACGAGGTAAAACTAAAAACATAAGATTTTGTTTTATATTCTTGTTTTTTCTTCAAAGGACAATTTTATTCTCATGATTCATATTTATTTGTTGCTCGTTATTTATTACCAAGTGAAGATGAAAGTATGGATAATAGTGAACTTGAAGATGAAATTAAAGATTCTGATACTGAACGTATTGTTTATTTTTGGCAAGGAAGAAATGCAAATAATACAGCATGGTTATCATTTAATTTTACGTAAATATTTTTATTTAATTTTTAATGTCAAATAATTTCTTTTCATTTTAAGTTTTAAACAAGAATTAATCGATGTACTTGGAGATTTTGAAATTATACAATTAATACAACAACAAGAAAATCAAAGATTTATGGCACATTTTAATCGAAAGTTTATTATACATAATGGAAAACGTCGTACAGCTGCACAACGTATGCAAACACCACTACAACGATTAACACAAACACAAATGTATCATATACGTTGGTGTTATTCGACTATCATGACACGTTGTATACAAATTGAAGCTACATCAGCAAATTTATGTTCAGAATTTTGGTAAATATTAACAAAGAAAAATATTAGCGTAATCCCTGCGGGATTGAAATGTGAGAGACAATGTAACTGTTGTTGCTAATCATAGAAAGATTGTTTTATTCTATTTATTTTGAGACGCATTTCTTCACCATCGTTTTACTCATTGCTTCAAAAATACAATAGGGAAGTAATTAATATATTACCCATGGAATAAAAAAAAAAAGAAACATTTTCCGAGAAAAACAAAGTTATTATATTAATTTCTTTGTACTTTTTTATTTGAATCGATAAATTTTTATGAAGTTCCAGATGAACGAATTTCGTACTGATTTTTTTCAATGAAAATTAGTATTCTAAAGCAGTATAGAGTATTATGAGCTTTGCGAAAGCCTAGCATATCGCTCCGCCATGATTACGTTTTAGATGTTTTATACAACAAAATCTAGTTGATTAGATCGATGTTATGTTTGTTTTGTTGTTCTTTATATTAGTTATATTGTCACTGTACCACTTGACTCGGGTGATATTATTGGTATTGTTTATGTATGGATTGGAAATTCTGTCCATCCTGATGATGCTTTACTTGCACAAGAAATTGCTAATGAAATGTATAATGTAAGATGAAAGAATAAATATAATTTCTTTTTGAATGATTTTCTTTTTCTATGTGATAGGATTCATATACAATTCAAGTGATTAATGAAGGTAATGAACCTGAAAACTTCTTTTGGGTTGGCTTAGGTGATCGATTGCCATATGATCTCGTATGTTGAATATAATTGATTTAGAATAACTTTGATATTAAATTTAATCATTATTTTAGACAGCTGATTATATGCGATATATGCGTTTATTTAAATGTTCGAATGATAATGGATTTTTTGTTGTTACAGAAAAATATGCAGATTTTTGTCAAGTATATAATTAACAAGATATATATATATATATTTATTTATTTATAATATATATGAATTATTTTAAGGATGATTTACTGGATGATGATTGTATGTTACTCGATACTGGAACGTATGTTTTCTTATGGAAAGGCCCAACAGCTAGTATAATTGAAGTCAAATTTGCAGCGAAAAGTGCTGAAGTATGTAGAATTTATTTTAAGTAATTTTCTTTTTAAATATCAATCGAAGTATCGTAGTTTAATGATAAATCTGCGTATGTATAAAAGAAACGCATTGATGATACAATGTCATATGAAAACAAAAACAAATACACCAACAAATAATTAAAAGAAAAATATTTTCAAGTATTCCTAATTACATATAGTTATAAATGGAGTGTTTTGAAAATATACCACCTATAAGTATAACATTGTCCTTGATAATATGCACTTATTTAGAATGACTAAGTCGCGTAATAATTATTTCTATTCTGACAAGAGAATATATCAAATGTCACTTTAATTTTTTATGCGAAATTTATGATGCTTTTAAAACATACATGCTGTATGTGAAGAAAGTTTCAGATCGAAATATGAATCAAAATCTGGAAATATTTCGTTAAGAGTTAAAAGGTAAATAAAATTGCTTCGGAATTTTACACGACCAAAGTTATAACCAGTTGGATGATGTTTTAAGAATTCTTATGATAAAAGGTAACTTTCTTCATTGTTATTCTACTTTCTATGAAGTTAGTATTAGTTTTTTTTTGTTGCACCATGCATTTCCAATTGATACTTCTATTCTATCAATATTATCAAATTTAACATTGTCAAACCAATATTTTGATATCTATTTATTTCGTAATTTTCTTCTGCAAACTCTTCATCTGATACTTCACTTTCATATTAGGCCACTTGTGCTATGTTCATCGTTTTTACTCATAGACTCTAATCTGAAATCGAAGGAAAGGATAGAAACAAAATGTCTACATCTGTGTCGTACGTAGCATCCTTACCATATGATACGAAGAAAAGAAGAAAAACAAGTGAATCATACTATAGCGCAATTTAAATTCTATATTTATCTATTGATTTATTTGATTGTTAATAAATTTTATTTACTGATTTTTAAATTTATTAACAAATTTGATTTATCCTTAACTGATAGTTTAAATAATTTACTGATTTTTTTTTGTTTCTCGAATTGCTTACCAATGTTGATAAACTAAATGAGATAGAATTATATTGTTTTGCTAGAAAATTCTTTTATTACTTCAAAATAATGAATTCATTCGATTAAATTTTCAATATAATAAAATATTATTTCTTTTTTTTAAATATTTTTAGCTTTACATTCAACATTTACGTACACGTGAACCTGATCGACCACGTAAATTACGTTTAACTGTAAAAAATTCTGAACCAATTGAATTTCGTAAATGTTTTCATGCATGGTCAAAACATAAAAATCCACCTCGTGAACTTGAAAAACAAAATGCTTTTTCTATTAGTCAACAGGAACAACAAAAACAAGCACCAAAAAAATCTCATTCAACAAACATATTTGTCTAAACTTCTTTTTTTTTTTTTATTATCTTTTTAACTCCAGAGAATCAAATTAGTTGTTTATTTTTGCTTAATCGTAGTCGACATATTCAACAGATAAATCCCATTGCACCCTTTCTTCTCTAGTCACCCAACATCCATCTTCTTTTTTTTTCTTTGGATATTGATTATGTTTTGTTTTTACATACGCTACTGTCTTCCTTAAACAAGCATATATATGCAATCAGATCATTAAAAAAAAGAAAAATCAAATTTAGATATGTTTTAACAAAGAACAACATTATGTATTTGTTTTTTTTTTAATCTTTTTGTTTTTGAATGATATGCTCGTTCTGATTGTCGATCATCAAACACACATTGTTGCCTTACTTAGTATTCATTTATTTGTTTTGTTTTCCCTTTTTCTTGTTTTTTTTCTTCATTTGATATGCATATGCTTTAAAATAATAATTAATAAAAAAGCGAAGTTTTCTTGGTGCTAAACATCGATTTTGTTATTCTAGATAAATATTCTTTATAATTTTTCTATACGATGAGCAACAACGGTAATACAAATGATCGAAATACTAGTAATAACAATACAAAAACAATGAAATTTAATTTAAATAAATCGGTTCAAGTTACAAAAGTATTTGTTCGAGAAAATCAACGATTAACCAAAAATGACTCGATTTTTTCAATGGTCGATACTCATAATCCGGGTATAGTGAATGAAGATGAATCTTATTGATAGATGATACGTAAAGAAAAAAAAAACGAAAACTAATTCATGACAAATGATAAAAATTGACTAAAAAGTGATCACAACAAATAGTGAATGCAAAAGAAAAAGTAACAAATTGAAAATTTCAAAAGATTTTTCAAAGCTATATGAATTGACGTAATAATATAGAATTAATAACTTCTGACTTTTAAATATAAATAGTCACTAATAAAATTTTTAAAATCAGTAAAAATATTGGTATATTTTCGCTTTCTTGAAATTATCCCACAACAGAACTAGCCGAAGTCTAACATCTTTGAACTCGAGTTATGATCGTTTTACTGAGTGGAATGATCTTGAGATTATTCTTAAAAGTTACAATCGAAAAGAATGATTAACAAACTGAAAAACTTAACTCGTCAAGACTTATGAAATCGATGATGTCTTTCCATATAAAACATGAGATGCGCAAATGTTGACTATGCTCAGCACTTCGTTCGTGTATCTAAAGCAAGTCATCTTAAGTTTAGAAAAAAAAACAACTGATGAAATAGAGACAACTTTCATCTTCAATTTATATGAAATCACATATAATTTTTTTTCTGTACAGATGGCAAGAAAGAACTATTTTTGTCTTCGATCTTGGGTACAATAACAAAATTATACATTCATGAATGGGATATTCTATCATATGGGTAAATTCTATTAATTATTCGTCAATCTTTTGTATATATTTTGTCTTCTATTATTGTAGTTCAATAATTTTGGAATATGAAGAATGTCTTCATACAATTACCTTCAAGAATTTATGTTGTGATTGTGGTGCTAATTTAAATCAGTAAAATAAAAAAAAATGTGAATGAAATATAGTATTGTCTTACAATTGTTTATTTTTTCCTATAAAGGTTAAAAGATAAAATAGAAACGATTTCATCAGGAAATGGTATCTCTGATCCATCGGGTGATTCATCTTTATCATCGTTATCAGCAACGATGAGACCAGTAACAACAGTGTCAATGGAACATACTGTACCAGAACTTAGAATAACACCAGAAGTTTGTTGTAGTTTTTCTCAAAATTGATTACATATTATGATTTAGGAGGCTGAAAAATATAGTATCGAAGAGCGAGATCGTCTTCTTCGTGAACGTAAACTTGATTTGCTTGTTGATCTTGATCAAACACTTCTTCATACAACAAATTCAAGTCATTATTATCCATATTCACCTGTATGTAATAAAAGAAAAAAAACAAATCAAGTCTTTTTTTTTTCTAAATTTTCTTATTTATATATTAGGACGTTATTGCATATCAATTAAATACTCAATCATCACAAACATTCTATACAAAATTACGTCCCGGTGTAAAAGAATTTCTTACTAATCTTTTACCATATTATCAATTTCATATTGTCACTTTTGGTGAACGTCTTTATGCACATACAATGGCAAAATTAATTGATCCAAATAAAACATTTTTCTATCATAGAATCTTATCTCGTAATGAATGTTTTGATCCAACACGAAAAACAGCTAATTTAGGGTACGAATATTTTTCTCTTAGAGTTTTTCTCACTTTCCCTTTTTTTAATTTTTGAAGGATTAAGTATGAGGAGAATAACGAAATATATCTCAAAATAGACAGAATAAAATAATTTCCTTGTGATTAGTAACAACAGTGATATTATGTTTCACATTTTAATTCTGAAATGATTATGCCTAGTTTTTTATGATTTTAGTGCATTATTTCCTTGTGGTGATTCAATGGTTTGTATTATTGACGATCGTGAAGATGTTTGGAATTATGCAAAAAATCTTGTACATGTTAAACCATATGTATGGTTTAAAGATGTTGGTGATATAAATGATATTCATCTTCCATCTCCACCTATTCCGAGTGAACAATTAATTCCACCAATAAGTGAAAAAGAATTTGAAGAACAGTTAGAAAATAGTGAACATATTGTTGATGAACGTATGGAAATGGATAGTAATGCATTAATTGAACGAACAACAGAAGAAGGTTATCAAAATGCTATTCATAGAGGTGAAAAACGAAAATTTGATAATGATAATAGTACGAATGAAAATGTCGAAGAGGACGAAGCAAATAAAAAATTAAAAGAACAAAATGATAATAACAATGAGTAAGTTTTTTTTTTATGTGATTTTTTTAAAAATTTGAATCATTCTTCATCTATTTGTATTTTCTTGAAAGTAGAGATGGACATAACCATGTTTTCTTAGTCTTGATTTAGAGAAAACTGTTTTAGAATTTCTTTTTTTTTTAATGATTTCTTCTAAATCTTGTTTTGATTGATAACATCAAACAATTTTTTCTTCGTAGCCTAAGCCTCTATGCATTTTTTTAAATACTTTGTGGTTCTGGTGACCGCAATCGAAATTAAAAGCTAATCCTTCACATCTTTGTATGAGTGATACGCAGAATAGTTTATGTAATTAGTCATATTAAAAGGATATCAATATGAAATTTCGCTTCTAAATAAGCTTTCTAATTTTTAGAATACTTTAATAATATTAGCAAAAGTAAGTGCTGTCATCTTTCTGAAAATATGATTATCTTGAAATAGTCAACATGTCAAAAAAAAAGTGCACTTAGTGACACTGAACTTTTTAAGTTTTGTATTACAATCCTAGTAAAATAATATTTCCTAAGCAAAATATTTACGAATAAATATAGTGTAATTGAGATGTTAGCTTCATTCTCTAGTTTCTATCATGATAGTAAAAATTCCTGACGATCTCTTCGTCAAAAACGATCAAAATCTAATGAAACTTATTTGTGCTAATTTAGACCAACGAACACTACAGCTTTGCCAGTAACTAATGATTCAAATGTTTCTATTGATAGTGATACTTATTTACATCAATTAGAAGTAATTTTAACACGTATTCATACTGAATTTTATGCAGCGTATGATCAATGGACACAAGATAAAACACGTGATATGCCTGATTTAAAACAAATCTTACCTGATATACGTCGACAAGTACTTACAAATGTGTCACTTTGTTTTTCTCATTTAATGCCACAAGGTTATCCGTTAGAAAAACATCGTGCAACAATTATTGCACGAGCTATGGGCGCAAATGTTACACAAGATTTACAAATTGATGATAATGGAAATTGTTTAACTACACATGTTGTTGCAGGAAAACGAACAACTAAAGTTGATCGAGCTATAAAATATAATATTCATGTTGTTACACCTGAATGGTTAATTGATTGTTATGAACAATGGGAAAGAAAAGCCGAAGAAAATTATATATTACATCCAAATTATGATGTGAAAAAATCAAGATTATTTACAAAAGAAGCACCTAGAATAGGTAGATCATTTAATACAAAAAAAAAAAAATATTATTTTAAATTACATTTTTATAGCATTTAATGATCCTAATACTGGAAATGAACGAATATCTTTGACTAAACAAAGAGTAAGTTTAGAAATGATTTTAATCTGAATTTAAAGATCTTCTATTATGTCTGGTGCATCGTTCGTCTAAGTAGATTTTCTATTGTGGGCTAGAAATTTACTTTAATCATGAATATTTCAGTTAAGATCTTTTTCAGAAAAGAATGCATCTAAAAGCCACCAAAAAAAAGAATGATTTTCATGCATGTAGAAAGATTGATTGTATGATAAAGTAAAATAATTTATTCAAAATTGAAATTTTTCTTCTATTAATAAATCATTCTTACAAAAGTATATTCATGTCAAACACTATTTCCTTTTCTACCCATAGAAAACTGTAGACTTACAATTTTTACTATTTCGGATTTTATCTCGTCGATCTTCTATCTACTTAGAACAATATTTTGACATTGTTAAAATAGTCTTTGCATTCTATGATTATTTCAGATAACAAATCTTTTCATTTTCAATACATCAGCAGTATATTTCTGTTATATACTATAGAGACAGATCGATATATCATCGAGTGTTTAGCTGACTAAGAAATTTATCTTTCAATCATTTAATTTGTATTGTGTTTCTTTTTGAGAATCAAAACCCGTCTGACGATGAACCAACATCAAGTTCAACAATCAGTAAATCTACAAAAACATCCTTAAAACGTTCTCGTACACCTGAAATACCATCAACTACTGATATACCCACTGATGTGATTGATGAAGATGATCAACCAACAACAAGAAAATATAATTTCAGCATGAGTGTTGATGAATTATCTGATATGGAAAAAGAAGTCAATGATTTTTGTAATGAAGATGAAGACGACGATGATGATGATGATAATAATAATAATAATGATGATTCAAATGACACACGATCCAGACCAATCAAACAACAACGAACATCATCATTTACTCCAATAACGACAACAGATAATCCAAATGATGATCGTGAAGATGATTATAATTCTGATTCATCTAGTAGTCAAAAATTACGTGATCTTATACTTGGTAAAAAACAGGAAACGGACTCTGACGAAGAAAGTCTCGGTGATGATGAGGCACCTCGTGGTTGGAAAAATAATCAAAAACGAAGAAAAAATAAATCATAGATATTTATAATTAGTTATGTTTTTTCTTCTCATTCATTTGCTTGTACAATGTGTAAGTGAGCACGTCTATTTTTTTCTGTCTTTGATTATGGCTGTTATTATTAATTTTTTGTGTCATTGTGATTCGTTCGACGTTGAGAAAAAAAAAGCAAAGAAGGATTAATGAATATTATCTTGTTAAAAATCCGACAAATGTTGATCATAGAATTGTGCATATATTCACATAAATGAATGAAATATAGACTTTTTGATTAAATTATAGACCAAAAGAAAGCATAAGCCAAGTCAGCAATGAGTGTGACTTTTCTTGCTCGGATTCGCTTTTTCGTTTGTAGATTTCAGCAGTTTCTAAAACATTACATGGAATTAAAATTGTTAAATCATAAGTCAAATATAAAAATTTTAAATCTTTCTTGAGAAGTTTCCGATATGACATTATTGAGATTTAAGTCGCCATATATTTCAATACTTAAACAAAACAATATGATAATATATACTAAAATCTTTAATCTCAAGAATGAGAAAAATGAAGATTTCTTGACATGAATATAAGAATTTTATATCAATCTAATGATTGAACGGTCACAGTGCCAAGAAATTTTTAAAAAGTGAATTTCTGTATGGTTTTCAATTCCGTGTTCTTTTGGAACTGCTGACTTTTGCTTATGAACCTAATTTATTTCAAAATAAACACGATGCTTAGTATTCGACAGCAATGAATGCTTATGATGTTTTCTACTTCAAGAACAGCCCTATATTATTTTGCATCATTCATGCATTCTTCACAATCAACCGAAATTCCATACCTGAATTAAATATTATCCTTCCTGGACACTTCATGAGTCATTAATGGCTTTGCCTGTTCAAGAAATATCGGCAAGGCTTTTCAAAGCAGTTCTTTCTTAGAATCACAGGATGAAACCCTTCACAAATGAGAAAACGAACTTCGTTCAAATATTTTCAGAAATGCAGCAAATGATTACCAAATTGTCGTTCTTCCAGAAATTCTTGTTTCAATTTTTATAAGCCTAACTTCAAGTCTTTTCAATTTAGTCTCATTTTCTAAAGTTTATTTACTAAATAATCAAAGATTAGGCAGAAGAAAATAGTGCATATAACAACAAAAACATATGCTCTGGATTTTCGTGCGTGTTTCTAGTTCCCTTTTCCACTGCTAAAACAAAGTATGTTATGGAAACCAATGGATCAATCGAATAGAATGCCTATCGTTGTCTCGATGGTTCTTGTAAGATTTTAAGAAAAGAGGAAGATCGGCATGCACAAAAATATCCGCAGTTGCCAAAAGCGAAAACACGACATTCACAGTATTGAATTTCGTAGAGAACTTTTGTCAATCAATGATTAACTTGTTGTTATCAAAGCAGCAGAGGTCCAAACAGGCTAGACAGGCTGCTTAAAATGGGCAGACCACCTGCCTGTCGTGTTTTTTCTAAATTTTCAATAAAAAACTTCATTTTTTTGAGTAGAAAGTGCAGATATCAAAATATAATATGGAAAATCTTTGCGCTGGAATATAAGAAATGATTTTTATATCAGTTTGACTCAGCACAATCATGACTATTAATAAATTATAACTACATTGTTCGTTGTCTATTTATTTATTTAGTTTATTTCTCCGTTTCGGTAGGTTACTGATCGCACTTATTAATTGGTTGTTATTAAGGTTTTACATAAAGCGTTGACAAAGTCTTATGTTCCTGATTCATATTTATATTGTAGTAATGCAGCCGGACATAATAAGTCCTCTTCAACTAATTCATCAAATTCAGTAAAAAAGATTTTTACTCAAAAACATTTTTTTTTTCTAAATGTTAAAAGCTTCCTTTTTGTCTTTACTCAATAGTTACCTACCTCATTAAATCAATAGATCTTTCGCTTAAACATGTTATTTTGATATCAGCAACTTCCTTGTTTTCTTATAGAGACAGTTTTCTACTTCCACTCAATTATTATCCTAATATTAGTATGCAAAAAAAAGTACACAGGCCTAAACAGGCAGGCAGGCCAGGCCTACGAAAAGTAAGCCTGTTTGGACTTTTACAAAGCAGACCAGTTAGAAAACTAACAGATTCAAGTTCGAATTGAAGCTAAACATAACGATTAAATGAAATGACAAATCAAAATCATTCAATTTTTCTTGGTTTTATTCTATCAAAAATGTAAAATCAACTGAAAAATTTTAATTTTTCATTGTACTAGAGCTCGTTTATATATACATCAATAATTTATATTTTGATGCTTGAATAACAATTACAAAACAAAGGTGAAAATTAAAGCCAAACAATAATCCAAAATCATATGACTTGAGTATTAAAAACTCTATCATACTTGATCATTTTGTAACAAATGCGAGAAATGTTGACCAAATTATTGAACATATATTAACAAACAAAACACTAAAAAAAAAAGACACATTCATCTTTGATATTTTATTCAACTTTTTTCTACTTACCGATGTTGTATTGGAATAAAATAAAAGTTCGTTAATTGAATAGCAGGCCATGCCAAATAATTAGCTTTCATAACCGTTGGAAAATCCTATTGAGAAACATATATCGATCATTTATTCAACCACTCAAACCTTTATTTCATTTGACATACTTGACGAAAACGTTCTTTCGCTTCAGTCATTGATTTTCCACTCATTAATGGAAGATACCAAATAATTGCAAAATTAAGAAGTGGTGCGGCAATAGTCTACATATTAAAAAACAGTATTTTCTTCATATTTTCTCAAAAACTATATGAACCTGATCAGTAATCATCATTTTCACAGGTTTTAATTTAACACCAGCAAAATATTTATCTAATCCGTAATACCAATATCGAAGAAATGGTCCCTAATAGAAACAGAACGTAACTATGTACAAATATTATTTCATCAGCAACATTTAATATACCGAAACTAAATAACCAAAAGCAGCAAATCGAGTAACACGAGGCCAATCAATAGTTTTTAATGTTCGATTTTCCATTATCGTCTGTGAAATAACATTTCCCAAACCCATTGTTGTTCCTAGTTTTTTTTAAGTCAAATATATATATATATATTCATTTCAAGATTCTATCATTCTATACCTGTTGTTAAACTCATTGCGAGTAAAGGATTTTCCAAGACGAACTTATTATATTTTCTTAATATCGACAGCATCTGTGAATCAAATTCAAATAAATAGTTAAATATATATATATATATTATCAATTTGATTTATTTATAGAACAATATAGATCAATAAAAATTTTCCAATCAAACGAATATGCAAGAATAAATTTCTTGCCAAGAGAAAAAGTAAAGAATTCTCTATATATGAGTTAATGACAATAACGCACATACCCATGAATGACTAGTTGACATACAAGATAAGATATCTATATTTACAAAACACACAAGAAAAGAATGTTCGGAATGAATAAAAGTATTGCACAAAAAAAAAGAAATGACAAATATAAACTAGATGAAATATATGTTCTATTAGGATGTTAATACTGGTGTACGTGATCGATCTTGTTCTTCAAGATGTTGCGTTAATTGTGCACGTTTCTTTTTACTTAAATGTGACATCATTGTTACTAATGCCATGCGTTGTTTTATTGTATACATCTATATATACATTAAATAAAAAGTAAAAAAAAACAGTTTATCTATTTCATTTTACTGTATTATCTCGAATCCATTGATCAATTGATTGTTCAGGTAAATAATAAGCTTTAATATAATTTTCAACAAATTCTTTATGTGGTAAAGGTCTAAATGAAATGTAGAAATTAATAATTAGTTCATTAGATTATATATAAACGAAGATTATTTAACATTGAGTAAAATGTACTTAAGATATTTATTCTATACTTGTTATTCTATAAGAAATGAGAGTCATAAAATGAATTCTAATAACATTTAATCACATGTATTATAAAGATTATATTGTTATCCTATATGAGAATATCTTATAATTGTACAGCAGTTTAAACAAAAATAAACTTGAACCAAATGTTTTTTTTCCTTTTTTTTTCGAAATGATTTCAAACATAACTTTTTCAGACATTAATCTCTAATATGCTGAAAATTATCTTTTGTTGTTGATCGATTATAAAATACAATGCTATAGAGCATTTAAACAAAAAAAACGGTGTGTAATTTTATTTGAAAATAGCAATATACATGTATGTGTCTTTCCGACTAAGTAATGTAGGGATGACAATATGCGTCAACTAGGTAGATCTAGGACTCAACCAGATCCAAACTCGGCTCTGGAAATTTTCTTTTGACTTAGATCGATCCAGCAGATGCTATTCTGAAATTAAGAGCTAAATATATCTTAATTCTTATAAGATGATCGTCAAGATTGCCTAAGAAATACGTATAAAAATTTCATTCATAGTATTAAGATTATGATTCGAGATTAGGTCTAGATTGAAAAATTTTGGACTCTCAACAAGCTCTAGATGATAACCGTGTCAAATATTGCTTTTTAAACTATATCAATAACCATAAAAATATTAGTTGAAACAAATGCTAAAGTAAATCCTGAATTAACTATATTATTTTTCTATGACATACTTAAGATCTTCAATAATGCGTTCTAATCTTCGGAGTAATTGTTGAAAATCAAGTTGCATTAATGCACGACCTTCATTACTACATCGTTTAGCATTTGCATAACTAAAATATTAAAAAAAAAATATTAAGTTTATAAAAATAATTGCTCGCTGATAAAATTTAATCTTACCCTTCAACCATCGTATAGAAAATTTTATCTAATATTTGATCCCATATTGTTCTATAAACAGCTTTGGGTATGGGTAATAATTGTTGATTAATTTGATCGAAACGATTTTGAAATGTTTGTAATTCATTTGCAAGTATATCAACGTAAACATTATGTTGTGTTAAAATTTCTCCTATATCCCAATTAACTTTACTTATCATTAATGCTATTGACATATAATCAAGAACATTAGCAGATACATTATGATATATTGGTATACGTAATTCATGTGTTACTTGAATCGTTTGAGAATAAAATTGTGTTAAAAATGTATGACGATCAGTTGGAATCATTAATTTTAAATATGGAAGAAGAAAATCAAATTGTTCAGCAAGAAAAACAAGTGATTCAGCAGCAACAATACGTTGTGGAAGACCATAAAGTACACTTGTTGGACTATTTATATCAACTAATGGTGATAGATGAGCAGCAGCTATTTTTTCCTATTCATAGAATATTTATTGATTATTTAACTAGACTAAGACTGAAAATGAAATTTCAAATGTAAGATTTATATAGAGCTCTCTCGTTTAATAACATATAAGATGCATTTAACAAACGAAGAGTGTCGTTTTTTTTTTCTCAACGACTCTTATTTTCCATAATGTACAGCATCTTTAATGTGGGCATCATCGAGACTGGTATAAAGTGCTCACTTTACGGAGATATACATTATTCAGGAAGTTTTTGGTTTCTTTTTTGCAACCTTCCACATCCGAGAAAACGGCATCGTAAACTATATAAATCGGTTTATAGCTGTTTAAAATGTCGTCTTCAGTGGTCAGAATTATTATTCTGGGCTATAAGGTTCCAGTTGCGATCACTTTTTCGGTTCCACAGGTTGATCATTTTCTTCTTTTCCAACAATTTATTATTCTGACTTTTTTTTTACTAAGAGAAGGATTGTTATTCCTCATGGAATTAGTAATAAGCGCTCATCATCTAGAACCAAGAGGTATTTATGTGTAAGAGGTTCACTTCTAGCAAAGTTCGTTGGAGACTTCCAGTATAAGAAAGGTGGTCACATAGAAAAGCTCTACAGTGATCTTTTGTGTATGTCTAACGTAGCATATTAATATATTTGAATGCTATAAAACCATTTCGTCAATGAAACTAAAAGTCGTTTTGTAGGTTTTCTAAGAAAAATTCACATCAATAGTTTGAATCTAAACACGTTGTCGTATTATCGAACTTCTCAAGGTTAATACTCGATTTAATGGAGCTGAAAAATCTTTTCTATGCTTGATTAATATTCAAGTTTATATTTACATGATGTGCCGCTTCTGAATCATTCTATAAAAAAAAAAACAATAATCAAATAAATATTACATTCATTATATTAATCAAAATATATTTCTTCTTACATTAGCAATTAAATTATCACTAATTCGTTTGATTGTAAATCTTAATCGAGTACTTAAGGCATCAACTGGAATTTCATTCTAAAATTAAATTCTTAACAATCGTTTTGATCAATTAAACAAAAAAGAAAATTTACCATATCACAAGCAAATAATGTATAAACTGTATAAAGATAATAATCAAAAAGTTGTGTCATACAAATGATAACATCAAATGCAATAGGTTTAAGCATTTCAATCATTTCCATATATCGTCCTTTAATTTTAATTATAAACAAAAGAAAACAATAAAAAAGTTTTTTTTTTATAAAAAAGAGAATATTTACCAAATAATCTGGTTACATTTAAAGTTGTATTTGTAATAATAGTTGATCCAGTTTTATCATCATGATATCGAGAATGATTAAGATGAGTCGAAGATCTTTTTCGTTGATTATTATCATTTTCAATATCTGAATCGGTTGATGAATTTGAATTTGATCGAATTCTTCTTTCCTATACAATAGAATTTTGTAAATATATAATTCATCGAAAATTTTCTTTTTAACAAACATTATAAGAATTTCCATTGATTATATTTCCATCATCAACATCTAAAGAATTCGTATCACTATATTGTGATGGTGAAGATGATATTGTTGTTTGTGTTTGATCAAGATCAAATGGATGTTCACGTTCAGTATATAAATATCGATCAAATAAATCAAGATCAAACTTTTGATTAAATGATGTTGAAGTTGCTAAATCCGATGAAAATGATTGTGTTTCACGTAGAAATCGAAATTCCTAAAAATAGAAAATGAAATATTCTTTTTTCTTTCAAATCATATTTTGTTATTAATAAGTCGAAAGAAATGTCCATTTAGACAAGAATGTGATAATCTTACATGTAATTGAGTTATATGAAAGGTTGATTTAACAGGACATCGTTGCCAAGTTTCATTTTCAAGAAACATTTTTAATTCATCTAATCGACCATTATGATATGAACGAAAGTAAACTACACTTTGTCGACGCATAGCTTCTTGAAGTATACTAGAATCACTTTGACAAAATTGTTCACCTATTTCCATAAGTCTAGATTTGATATAGAATGAAATTATTGATATATGATTAAGAAAACAAAAAAAAATGAAGAATATTTACCGATTAATAACTTTAAGTACTTGTATAAATGCTTCAAATTTAAAATGTGTCATATTATTTTCAAGAAGAAATGTTTTCATTTTTTGTTGAATTTCATTCCATAAACGACTTGATCCACTTTCGAGTTTTTGAATAAGAAAATCTTGACTTGGTTCTGGTCTATCATCTTTTGTAGCTGTGATATAAAGAAAATAAATGTTTAATGAAAAAAAAAAAAAGGATTATTATACCTTCAATAGATGCAGGATTTTTTTCATGCCAAAGCCAAATTAATTTATAAGATTTAATTATTTGCCAAAAGCATACATTAAGTTCATGCAAACAACTGTAAAAAGATTCTTCAGGAATCATCTAAACAAATCAGTTTTTTTTTTGTAGGAATCAACAACATGTTGATCTATTGGAATTCCCTAGTGGAAGATAAGAAAACGATGGATCTGAACCATGTATTATTTCAAAACAGAGTACGCGATGAAGAAACCGTCCCATATGTCTGTTTCTGATTTCAATGATTTTTTGTCTATAGATACCACATAGTATTCTAATGAAAACTCTAAAAATATTTGAGTTTCTATTGAGATTTGGCTAAGCTTTCAAATTTTCATTGGAAACTTTGTGCATATACAGAACTTAACTAGACTAGCTTTTATAAAAAAAATGTAGAAGTGTCGAACAAAATCTCTTCGAGCTAGGTCACTTTAGAAAATGCTGAATATTTCTAGTGCAAGTTGATTTAGTTGAGTTGTTTATATGCACTAAGTTTCCAATGAAAAGTCAAAAGCTTACTCAAATCTCAATTAAAACTCAAACTTTTCTAGGCTTTTTATTAGAATACTATCTAGCATCTGCAGCCATGAAAATAATTGAAATTGTAAGAAGACCTCTGAGGAGGTTCCCTTGTGAGTTCTACATGGCGGTATGAAGAAATACAGCTTGTGATTCAATATTAAAAAAAAACAGTTTCTGAAGAGACTAGGCTCTACATGAGATATGCAAGATCAATTTTTGCCCTGATTGTCAAGATCAGATGTGAACAACTGGAGTTGCGAGAAAAAGAATTCTCCAAACTGAAACTAAAGATTATAGTTAAATGCTCTACAGTTTTAAGAAAATTATCTTATCAGTCATATAAATCAATGAATAATTTAGATGAGACAACTAAAAAGACTTGTCAATTGTTTGCTGAATAAACAAAAACAGCGAGTATTTAAGAATTCTCCTGGATTTAATACGAAAAAAGTCTAGAATAGTTTTCTCTAGAGTGGTGCCCGCAGTATTAAAATCACAGAGTTCTGGGCTATCGGTTGGACCACTGAAGAAAATAACAGAGGCGAGACAAGAAAACCTCGGTTCTGTATATATCTCGTGTCTACTAATCGACTGCTGTATAAAAAGAAATCATTAGAAACATTGTCTTTGAAGCCGTTAACGCAATATCTAGAAGATAAAAATTTGAAACACGATATAACTGCTATTGCTCAGTAAGATTGATTCTGAACAAACCGTTTCAAGTCGGTGCTATAAGTACTCTACACTGTGTTTAGTTCGTTGAGGAAAATGAGACTCGTATTTTATTATGTGATGCGATTTTAACTGAATTGTCTATCACAGTATGTATGAAAGTAAGAATTGAAAAATCTCATTCTATACTTATTTGAATTCATATTTCATATAAGTCATTTACTTTGCACAAATCAATATAAGAAGATAAACTAGGATCATTATTTGTTGATCCAATAGTTTTTAACAAAATTTCCAATGTACGTGTTTGCACAACATTAACAAAATGCATTTGTAATTGATCCATAAAGGTTAATGATTTTCCAAGTAAACGATAAGCATTTAATAAACGTTGATATGTATGTGGATTAAAATTTGAACAAAGTTTAGCTAATGTTACATCAATTGATTCTTCAATAAAATCTAATGTATCTTGAAGTTTTGTTGAAAGATCTCTGAAAAAAAAATTTTTAGAAAGTAAACAACGCTTGTGAGCGCATGCTATCTAGGCCTGCAATGTAAAACTCACATGATTCAAATTTTGGTTCGAAATATTCCTGTCTCCAAGTTTTTTGAAAATAGTGATAACTGTCTATTCCTCAAAACAGTTTAACTAGTAAAATACTCATCAATAAAACATTCCTAGTTACGATACTGTTCATTATTAATGTCGTTCAGTGCCTCATTCCGTTATTAAGAATCTCTGAAAAAATAGTATGATGCCTATGGTCGTCGGTTACTATGGGAACGTATGCAATGATCGTTGGCCTCCCATATTATAATAAGAAGGTAAATCGCAAAACCTCTGCTTAAGATTAACACTCATTATATTTTTCTTTCAAAAAATTTAATGTGAGTTCCACAAAAAATTTTGGCTAATGACTTTTCTTAAATACCCTATACATTGATATTCTTTATAATGAAGGACAGTATTTCCACATTGTGAACATAATTGAATTGCACCAACAAAATCTTCTTGCTAAATAAATTAACTAAATGTAACAAAAAAAAACAGAAAAGTTTCGTATTGAATTTATTTTACCTTAACCATTTCTTTTAGTTTTTGATCGATACTATGCTAAATAATCAAAATTTGTTGTCATTTTGATATTTTATTCAAAAAAAGAAATACGAACTAGTTTTTTTAATTTTTCAATATTTCGCAAAACATTAATCCATTGTTGTTTACGCATTGCATTTCTAATTAAACCTAAATTTCGTGTTGTTATTTGATATTGTGCACGGCGAAGATTTCTATAAAAATAAAATAAACACATAGATTTTTTTGTAAAGTAAAATTTTCAACTAACCTTCGAGCTGTATGACATGTTTCAATTGAACATTCTAATGCACTTGTCAACACAGTAACACGCTGTAATTCTGCAGTATATGATGAACTATTTTCAAGGACTAATTTCGATACACGTTTTGATACCTATAAAAATCGATGAGAAAATCAGAAAGTTCTTTTTTTTATTTTACAGACAGCTGTTAGTTGAGTATTAAGACGATCATGACGTGCTATCACATCAGAAAGGTTTAAAAATGGATTACCATTTTGTGATGAAAGTAACTTCTAGTTTGAGAATATAAAAATGTTGAAAAATGGAAGAAAAAGAAGAACTTTTCTTTTACTTGAAGTTCATATTCTTTAGGATCGAAATTATCTTCGGCATAATAACAATCTTCTATTGTATTTAATGTTTCACGATCAGCCTTTTCGCTTACGCTTAAAAATCCATGATCCTAAAAAGATAATCATATATTTATGAAAAATAAATTTGTTTCAGAAATTTAGCTCACCTTGAATGAATCAAACATGCTTAATATCACTGTTTTGCATACTCAAATAATAAATACTAGAAAAAGAAAAAGAACAAGAAAAATTGTCACATTGATATTTTTTTTTTCGAATATAAAAATATTATAAACATTATTAGACATGACGGAAAAAACACGTGTCTATCAAGTAAAGTATTCTTTTTTTTTCATTCGATAAATAACAAAAAAGAAAACCGCTACAGGAAGTGTTTTATTACTATCATAAATCTCGATAAAAAATAATAATATTTATTGATTAAATCAGCTATCCATAATATTATTGTTACTAAGAAGAAATAATTAAACGTATGTGTTCAACCACTCGATTGACACTTGCTAATATATGTTGTTGTTCATAGTTTACTTGAATGACAATATCATCTAAAATAAAGAAAAACAAAAAGTTTCATCGTAGACACACTCAATAATTTTTCTAGATTATAATTTCGGAAATTTTTTATGAATTAGATAAGTTTGATTATCTTATTTAAAGAACGTTGACAATGAAGTTATTTGTTTCAAAATAACTATTACAATTGAATTTAAATGATAGAAACATATTGTTGATGAAAGTTAAATGTTGAATAAAAAATATTCTTATTCAAATTTAAGTATGACTTGTCAAATGTTGACAAGATTAAATATTAATTGAGTGACTTTTTTCTCGTGAAAAAAAGTTAACGTCTTTATCATTTTAATGAGTATTTGATAACAAATTTCATTGCATGAGCTACACAGATATATGATAGTGGCTTGTTTTATGTTATCTATGATATAATGAAAATAATATTTGACTGTATTTATCTTTTATTTTGTTTGGTTGAATATGTCACAATAAAAATAATTTTCATCATAATATTTGAATTAAATAAATAACTGAAAAAAAAATAAGGATCTGATGAACTTAACATTGTTATTTTTAGAACAATACATATGTGGTTTACAAATACTTTGTAATGCTTTTTTTTTGTTAAGAGTACTGTCTCGAATCAAGAATTAATACTAAAAAAACTTCTAGACGCTTTCTTTTTTTCAGCAGCTTTTCTAAAGAATAATTTTTTCTTCAATTCTCTTCATTCAGATATAGTAACAACAGTAAATTTTTTGACATGACATATCTTACATCGAATTTTTAGAGTTTGATTTCTTACCCATAGTTAGTAATTGTTAATATTCATCATGGTGAAACTCGTTCTGTAAAAATTTAATGTTTTTGATCTAGATTTCATTTGATTTTTTTTTGCCATGATAAAAAAAAGTAGTTTAAGCCATTGCTGACTCTCTAAATATTACAAAGCTTTAAATCAATATTTTTTTAATATAAGGTTCTTGTATAACTTAAGTGTGTTCGATAACAAAAAATTTTGAAATAAAAAACAATAGTTCTTTTTTTTTATTTAGAATTATGATATATTGTAAGATTAGAATATTTTTATAAAATGTTAATACTTATCGAACAAACAGAAAATAAATGAAGGTGTTACTAGCAGATGATTGTAGTTTTGACAATTAAACATGGATATTTTATCCAGATTTCATATAAAGAATGTCTTTTCAAGACATAGAAAATAGTTGCGTGATCAGAAAGAAGTTGTAGGAAAGAGTAGAAACTCCGGAAAATGCTTCGAGAGGGAATTCAAACTTCTTTTTAAGTCTAACTCAAACATTTGTAGGTAGAAGAAACTTAATGAGATTCTCTATTTCCATGGTTTCTGAAGACTAGCTCATTAGAAATATTTTAAAACTTCAGGATGAATATATCTTGATGAGTAGATAAAAATGTGTCACAGATTCAAAATTCCCAAATCCTTCTTTCTAGGACATATCTAGTACTAAAGTCTATTTGAAATACTTCTTCTTATCTCCTACCATTCGAAGAAAAAAATCAAAATACTGTATCAAGTACCTGTAAAAAAAGTTTCAGCTCCATTGAACGTATTATGTGGGAGAAACGGAAGCAATTTTGCACTTTTCTTGTGTAAAATTTAATCTTGAAAACAATACATTTTCCTGTATACATGTGGGCTGTTTTTTTTTCCCTGTAGAGTGATTGAAACCTATCAATGTTAGAAGTTCATAACCCATGCGCTCAGCACCTTATCTAATTAGTATTAAGAGAATTTTACATACAAAGAATAATCTTACTACGAGGTTTTTAAGAGTTGGATTTAATAGAAGTACTAAATAAAAATGAAGCCTCAAAAATTGAAAAAATTTTGATTTTAATAGCTGGAAAGGAGAGTCACTTTAAAATCTTCTAAGAAAGTTGAGCCCCATTTTAATTACACTACAAATAGAAAGATGTTGAAACAAGTCATTTCCAAGTAAATAGGATTACTCTTGTATTTATCATAGTCTGAAAACACTTAAATAATTCTGGTTACATTTAGATTTCCTGATTGATATAGAAAAGACTATTTTTAAGTAATCTATCGTACGATTTTATTTTAAAATAATGAGTAAAGATAAATATTTTGATCTCGATAAAAGAAATCATAATCAAACAGTTGTTTTAAGAAGGAAACAAAACATGATTAGATTAGTCAAACGTGTCTGGAGGTCTAGACGTGCAGTTTTGCCCTATGGAAATTTTAAGAGGAAAAAAAAAGACGAAAGACAAGGACATTATTTTAATGTTTGATGATAAAAAGACTTTGGCATTGATTTATCTTCATTTTCGAAAATTTATTTCTAATAGATTGTTTCGATGAAAATAAGTTTAAAAGCACTATTATTATCGTAAAATTAATTATTTAACTTCCAATTAAATTAAAAAAATATTTTTTCATACTCATTGACTTCTTTACTAAAAAGAGGAAAATCTTTTTAAAACAAAAAGTTTCATTTTCTTACCATTAAATGTATCTTCTTTAAATAGTTAATTAAACATAGAACCTAACAATAATATTTGTTGATAGATAATCAGCCATACTGAATAGTCTATCTCCTAATAGTCCACTGTCACAGTAGAAAAAGAGTAGTGTTTTGAGCGAATCAATAGCAGATGCACTACGCGTGGCGCCCTCTGAAGTTTTTGATGAGGCCGAAGTTTTAGTAAATACCAGTCGGTAGAGAAAATTATTCTATATCGAAGTGTGCTTTTACGATTTCCGAAAAAAATGTCTATGTTGAAACAACCAAAACACGAGGACCAATCCAAAAACCTATATATGTCATTGACTTGATTGATCAATCAGAATTGAACCATTTCAAAAAGTTGAATCATCGAAAAAGTGATACAAGATGGCTGCTCTTCATTAGAATTAATAATCATTGCGCTAGTCGAATATATGCCGAGTTTAAGTTATCTTTCAGTCTTTAATATCATCATGATCTTTATATATATTTTAAATATATATTTTTTCCAATCAACAAAAAAGAGTACAATAAAATAGAATTATAGAAACAAAAAAACTAATATAAAAAAAATTATTCTTTGTATTGGCTACCTTTTAGCTGCGCACCACAGTTCGTTTCTAAAACCAGCTGCTAATCGAGCTTTTGATCTTGATGGTAGAAGGTGTTTTCTGAAACAGAAATATAAGAGATAATAAAGTATACAATCAAGAGGTTATAATTACAAAAATGGTTGGAGTTGAAATGTTTAACGACTGTATTTTTTGTGTTACGCATAGTAACGGAGATAAACATATTGTTGAAGTGCCAGTCATTTTCTAAAAAAAAGATAAAACGTGACTTATATTCAAAAATCATGTTTATTCATAACAAAGTCGTAAATGATGTCAATTGTCTTTTTAAGTGTACTACAAGCATTCACTTTGTTGTCGTTGTTGGAACCTATGATGAAAGCACACAAGAAGTATATTCTAGAACTAGCTGTACAAAAGAAATTTCGACCAGATGATTTTAAAAACTTGAGGGTGTGGGTGTGGGTGTTTTTAACACTGTTATCAACATCCATACCTACTCGACACCCACCCCACACTCACACCCTTTTCTATACCGTCAAAAACTAAATTCAATTAAAATCAACTCTCAATATCAACTGTCGATGTTTAAGAAAATCCTTTTTTTTGCTTTTTATGAGACACATTTCTAATAAGAATTATTGTCATATTCTTGCCAATTACTTTTTGTTTTACTACATATCGAGTTGAATGTGATTCTAGAGCAGAATCGAAACGTTTTCTTAGTCAAATAGAATATTTTGCATACGATAGGCAATTAATAAGATAAGAAATCATTTAAATAAGTTTGAATGTGAACTTTATTCTTTTTAACTATTTATTTTAATCGGACAATAAACGAATTTTCCTATTCGATTCAAAGAAAAAAATCAATAAAACAAAAGCTTTGACTACAATCAATTCACGTTTTATTCTCCTGATCAGTCTAGTAAAAATTTATTAAACAAGAATCTTCAACGAAAAAATTTGCTTAACATATTGTAAAACATATTCAATACTTTTTTTCCATTACTTCAGAATAAGAATCAACAAATGATCAAAGAAGAAATAATCCCAAATATCCAAATGCAAAACCTTTGTGTTTCGATGTAGCAGAATAAAAATCCATTTTTTTTGTTAAATACTTTTTTTAATAAAGAAAATTGCAATAAATAGAAAATCTGAACATTCGCTTATATTTGTCGATGCAGTTTCTCATGATATGTGCCTTCAATTTTCTCGCAATAGGTACCAACATTTTCCCAGAAAGCTTTCGAATATGATTGAATTTTTTTTTGATTCTCATTGAGATAATAAAAGTATTTTGATCTAGATTTGTTTAGCGTTTCTCCATGATATCTTGGTCATTGAAAAACAAAGTAAATCATTGTTTTGAAGGTGATACTTGTTTTGTTGTGGAACATTCGATACAACAGAGATAGGCCGACAAACAGTTCATTCTTGTCAAAAAATTATTTCAAAAAAAAATATACGTAAATAACAAAGAATCATCATCTAAAATGAACTACATTTATTGTTCACATTTTAAAACGTTCACTAGACCATAATGATGTTTATTTTAGCTGTTGACATACACTTTTTTTGGTTTCTTTTATGACAATGGTATGGAATATTCTTTACAATTATTAATCTATTGTCAATCTTTAATGAAACGTTTCTCCTCACGTCCATTGATTCAAATCCATCATTACTAATGTTTAATCATTCATCGATAGAAAAGATCTCCCATGTTTAAAACTTTTTTTATGAAATAAAAAAATCTCTTGGTGATTCAACAGATGGACAAAAACATTTTCAAGCTATTCAACAATTAGTTGATCTTCTTCATCAAGATAAATGTCACAATCTCAAGTAGATCAAAATATCAACTGGTCGTCTTGACAGAAAGAAGCACTTTCACCATGGAGGACAGAGAAGATGCATTTTCAACAACGATCAGAATGTATGTAGAATAATGCTTATATTTTCTCGGTAAGGATTCTCTAGAAATAAATGCTTTGATCAAAAAACTTGTTTAAGTGAAAGGGAAATGATATTTAAATCGTTGAGGAGGAAATGAAATCTCGGAATTGCAAATCAACTATGTATTCTAGAGACATCTTCTATCTCGATTGTCGTTTGGTGAATAAATCTGATGATAATTCATCTATCGTGTGGAACATCGTTTGTTCTTCCTTCTCTTTTTGTTCGTTTCCACTTCTGTTTCGCTTTCGTCTAGAGTCCTGCAACGGGGTCGGGTACCCGGCACCCGACCGGACCCGAAACTGTGGTCCGGGTACAAATTTGCCGGGTCGGTTTGGGTGCCGGGTATAAAAAAAAATGCCGGATCGGGTGCAGAATTTGAGCATACCCGGTACCCGACCGGTAGTCGATGACATCTTAACAAGTAAAAGTACTTTACACTCTAGGATAGAGTCCTGCAACGGGGCCGGATACCCGGCACCCGATCGGACCCGGAACTGTGGTCCGGGTACAAATTGTTACTTGATGAAATTAAAATAATAGTATATTTTGCCATATGAAATAAAAGTTTGAAAAATGAATATAATTTTGACAATAACAATCAAGTGCTGACTATTTCAAGGCTGGGCCGGGTCCGGTCGGGTACCGGGTAGAGCTATCCGGGTCCGGTTCGGTTCCGGGTGGAAGATGACCGGGTCCGGTCGGATTCCGGGTTTGAAAAAAATGAGCCGGGCCGGGTCCGGGTGCGAAAAGTAGTACCCGTGCAGGACTCTACTTTCGTCTGGTATTGAATGAATACAAACGTTGAACAGCATTGTTGTTGTGTTCTTTGTCCGATGGTCATTGTTTCACATCTTCAATGTCCAAAGGATCTTTTATAATGCAGTGCAGATATTCTTATCATTATTACCCCTGTTCAGTTGTTTTCTCGTCAAAAATAAGAAAAATTCTTGCTGACATTGTTATCGAGGTAACACTTGATGATCATGTCTTCTTTTCTACATATCGCATGGTCGTCGCTCTTTGTGCTATTGTTCAACGGCCGGCGTGGCGGTCGTTCCTTGTACTATTGTTCTATCCACATATAAAAACACACACCTCTTCATTTCTTGGGATCAATAAACTGTATAACCAGTGCTAACAGACATTGAGACTTTCACCTCAAACTAAGGATTGGATTAATGAACTGATTTCTTTTTTTGCTTCTAGATTATCACAATGAGTTCGACTAACGTTGTTTCGACGATCATCAAATCTGGTTTTAATTCTAGTCTTTTACCTGGTATAATTCTCAAACGTCAAACATCTGATCTTTTGTTAGCCGATCTGAACAATTTTTTGGTTTATTTGAAACGCATCTGTGCATTTATTCTCGGTTTTACATCTTTGAATTCGATTGACATCGATCGATTCTTTGCTGATCAATCATCATACGATTCGGTTGAAAGATTCGTTGCTGATAGTCGATGTCAAGTCTTATTCGTCTCGCAAATAAATCCATTTAATGAATATTCATCGTTAATTAAAAGAGATGTTAGTGCCGATGTTTCAACATCAATAGTCACTTCATCTTCTTCCTCGTCGTCGTTGAATCGCTATGCATTGTCGAACGAAATTCATGATATTAATCCTAAGTGCTTATTACTTGTTGTGCTCAAGCGGGTTCCAACGATTGTCAATGACAAAAACTATCACACACAGCTTCAAATCATCGATTTTATTGATTCAAATCATCAGAAAGCATTATTTGGTGAATTACTCGATGGACAATGTATTAATTTACCAGAAATAATTCTAAAAACACATGTTGTTTCTGCTCAAAATATTGAAAATTTGATCGGTAATGTAATTCAAGAATCGATGAATATTAAAAACAACGGTATGTCTTTGTTTGACGAATGATTTGGCATAGATGTGAAAGAAAATCTTCAGAAATCAAAAAGAATCTTTGAAAAGTCATGCGAACTCTTAAGTTCATCAGGAAGACAGTGAGATATCCCTTGTCGAATGAATGAATACAGACTTTCCTACTTGAGAGAAAAGAAAACGAGAATATTGATAATAGTCGAATGATCAATAATTAATGTCAAAAGACAGTAGACAACAGTAACGTGATCTATCACTCTTTCGAAACGAATATCGATGGTCCTCCGCATAAAATGAATCGGGTGAATCATCAGTGCTCATGGAAATGTTCAGACATTACCATGACCAGCTTAAGTTCATATTAAAAGAGAGAAAAATACTATTATGTACGTATATATAGAGAGAGAAAAACACAAATCAAAATATTCATCTGTACCTTGATTTATTCGTTTTTTCTAGATCAAAATCACCACCAGGACGAAGACGACGAAGAGGACAATATGGTGATCTATCGGCTCTCATTTACCAATGCATTGAATAGGAACCATCGTGCCCGTGTTTTCGATGCACTACTAGCATATAGTGGTAAGTTCATATTTTTTCGAACAAACTTACTCATTCGTTTTTTTCTCTTTTGCTTTTAGTACGAACTGCCATTCAAAGTCGATTAAATACTCGTTTTACTATTCGACGCATAGCCGATCCAAATTACATATTTCAACCAGGAGAAGAATTCAATGTCGTATTTCATACTCAAGGTTCATTTATGCGTTTTCACGCCTGGCTGTCTCGAACATATTCCAATCGTGGGCATGTTCTGACAATTATCGAACCTGCCGATTTTGCTATGAACATTATTGTATAAGGTTTTTTCATTTTTTTTCTGTATTGGTTATATTCTATCTTTCTTATTAAATTGATGCTCATATTCAAGCTAAAAAAATCAATAGATCTTGAATTTGATGAACCTGATAAGAATTATTGGATATTCATGATGATTTATATATTTGTTTTGAAATTTTGAAAATGAAGTGAAATAAATTTCGATCAAATCGATGGGTCCATATGACCAATATCACCTCACCGAGATATCTAAACATATTAATCTATTTTGTTAACTGAACTGTTTGAGTATATGATTGACTTATAAATCTTTTTCTCATAAATTATCAAATTTAATCTCGTCTTCTCTGGTAAATTCTATTTGTCGATATCATTACTAACTAAATATAGTGATTCTGATTGATTCATTGAAAATTTAATTGAAAATGGTGAATATGGTGAAGCACTTCGTCTTTGTAAAGTTTTTACATCTAATTGATTTATTTGATCAAATTCATGAAAAACAAATTCGTTTATCTTCAGATCAATTAAAAAGTCATTTACCAAAAATCTGTTCACATCTGGTTGTTCTTGAGTTGTGTACAACATTTCTTTATCCAACATTTGATGAACAAGATTTATTACTTTAATTTTCTCTTGAACAAGCAACAAAAAACCAATTCGTTCTTAAATTATCTCAATCTGATCACGAATTTTTTCAATTGATTTTTGAAGAAAATTCTTCTTTACAAGAAATTCCTCAAGATCATCTTCGATTGAATATTTCATAAAAATAAGTTTTACTTTATCGACGTTGACATTTAGATTAAAAAAGAAAATTAAATTTATTTGATGAACTTACTCATCAGATGCACATTTTTCGACAATATCAATCAAAGGTTTTTGACAAATTTCGAGAGTTCATAACACAAATCAATTACATAATAATTCAGATTTTCTATACTTTATACCAGGCATATACGGCAGTTCCAATAATCTATGAAAGTTTATAAAGACCTATAACAGTCTACAGAGTTCAATGATACTCTAAAAATATTTATGATAGTCAGTAAAGACCTATAGTAACCTATAAAGACATTACCTAGCCTTTGAAAAACCTTCATATTCAATAAGAGCCTTTCAATATGAGAAAGGGTGTACCAAGATTTACTACAGTTTAAAGTGAATACATGCCTCTGCCCTCGTCCTCAACCTCATCGAAAAGGTAGATGAAAGCATGTGGAATGTCTGTCTTCCTGATGGGTCCTGGTATATCTCTCTCTATGATTCTAGAGAGATTGATGAAAGCTGAACTATTATGTAATTGATTTGGATCATGAACTCTCGAAATTTGTCAAAAATTTTTGATTGATATCGTTGAAAAATATGAAACTGATGAGCATAGCGTTCGTTTGGTTTTGATTAGAGGGGAAGGATGCAAGGGAGAAAGTTTCCCCAAGCTAGAGAGAAATAGCTCTTTGAATTAGGTTTTTACAGTAAAATATATTCTCAGTTGAAACTTTCAAGGCATTCGATCATCGAGGGGAAGGGTTCGGAAGGGGGAACTTGAGATTTGTCCAGCCTCCTCCTCCCCAAATTTTTTCTTCCGTTATGATGTTCTGCTAAGAAATGTTCTTGGCGAGCACTTAGCAGATTATAGTATTTTAGTGAACGAAATGCGCTATGCAAAAGGAAGCCGTCTGTTTTTTCTGACGAGGGACCGTTCTGAACTGTCTTATCGCTTTGGAATTCGAACTCTGCGTAAGGTATACCCCGTTGATGTATGAAAAGACCATATGGAGGAATCCCGTTAGGGATCCTGTCAAGATGCATAGGCATTTCACTGCGATTTTAGCCTATCCCTAAAGGAAATCCTTGCTGTTTCCATACCAAATTCTTAACGGATCCAATCAAGATCCTTCAAAAGAATTCGCTCCTCTTTCCTGAGGAAATGACTGAATTCTGAAGGAAGTATGTAACTATGGAATTTCAAGATCCTCGCATGATTCGGAAGAAGATTTAATTAAGATTCTTAGGAGAAACATGATGTACTTGTGGGTGTGAATACGGGTTCATCTCATGTTAACTAACAGTCGCAGCCACTAATACACCCTTCTATTGGATTCTTGTCGAGATCCTCCTCAAGTTCAGTTAAAATAGCTGGCTAGATCGTTGTATAAGAATCCAGATCAGATGCTCTCTAAAGCGTGATGAAACCTTGGAAGTTTCCTCTCTATAATTTCTGTAAGGATCCTAAGCAAAACCACAACAAAATACTAGCATGATTCTGCATTCGTGACTTAGGAAAAAATTTGGGCAGAAACGTGAAGAAATTCTGAGCAGAATCTTGATTATCCGTGAAAATTCTGTAAACAGGCATTATCAGGATTTGAGGCAAGATCCTGAGAAAAACTTGACAAGATCCTTGAGATGCGGCATCCTGAAAGATCCTTTCAGGATTTCTCAAGGAATGAACAGAATTACGACTAAAGATGGCATTATATGTACTGACAAGCTTAGTATCCATATTTCGAGCTGAGATTTAGTACACAAACAGGTCTATTAGTGACCAAACTGTCCTGAAAGTTCCAGCTCAAAAGAAAATTTCTTTGCTCAAATATTAAGACTTTAAAAATAGGCAACTCTAGCATCTTTCGTAGAATATGAGTGATTTTTAACACTTCAATATCTGGAGGAAAAGCATTTTTTTAAGCTGAAATTTTCAGGACATTTTGCTCTCTACTTGACCTGTTTATATATTGGACATCAGTTCGAAATACCATCACTCCATTTGTTTGTATACATCATGCCATAGGCTAAAATTGCAATAAAATACCTATAAGCCTGTACATGCAGTCTAAGGAGGTTTCTTCTTGTAGTATGTTTCATACATCAGTGAGAGCTGCCTTATGCGCAGCGTCCAAACTCAAAAGTGATTTGGCAGTTAAAAACGGTCCTTCGTTAACTAGAAAGCCTTCACTCGATATCTCAAAACAAACCAGTTGTTTTTTTTCATCAAGAAAGTTAGTCTAGTAACCAGCTAAGCGAAACTGATTTAATATCACCTTTAGTGTGAACTATTTTCTCTTTGAATCCAAAGCGTCTTCTCTAGAGATCTAAACTTGTTTCTCTGAAACTGAACCATTTTCCTTTGGATCGAAATTATTTTCTCTTTAGATCATCCAAGCAGGAAATTAATCAGTTTCAAAGAGATAATACTTCAGATCCGAAGAGAAAATGGATCAATTTCAGAGAAGATAGTTTCAATCTAAAGAGAACATACTTTGGACCCAAAGAGAAAATACTTCGGACTTGAAGAGAAAATATATCAGTTTTGCTCAGCTATTAAGTAGATTAATTCTCTTGATGAAACAACACCTGGTTTTTCTTGCAACATTGAATGAAGACATTCTGTCTGAGAAAATCAATGGTTGTCTTTTGCACCGTTCATTCGGTTCACTAAAATTTTATAATCTGCAGAGTGCTTCTAAAGAAAATTTTCAAGGAGAAAGGTATAGTGGACGAAAATATTTTGCGGGGGGAAATCCCCGGCTTCCTCCCGCTAATCGTACGCTCTGACCATATCAACATTAACCCTTTACGGCCGGATGTTGCCAAATGGCAACATTTTGCCAATATTATCTTAGGATTTATCTTAAAGTGATGAGATATAGTTCCTTAAGCGATTTGATAATTAATTACATGCATTTTAGGGCAAACCTATGTCTTCTCAAGAAAGGAGAAAGCTATTATTGACGAGAGGGATGAATTCTCCTGTCAACACCCGAAACAGCCCTCGAGTCGAAATGATCTGTTTTCCATTTGTGCGAGCACTCGATGCGAGAAGTAACTAGTGGTTATTTTTCCTCTCCAGATCCATTATCTATTATATCAATAAGATAAATCATTCAGTTTACTCGAAGAATAGAGTACAAGAATGTTGCCTTTTGGCAACATCCGGCCGCAAGGGTACAAAAAGTTGGGAATATTGAATTAGTTTTTCTCGATGAAAGTCCAATAATTTGCTGTTAGTTTTAGTCCAGATTATCAAACAAAAGCATATTTTGTTTATCTGCTCACATCTTACAGCCTCAATGTGCGATATATTCCCATAATACTCAAGAACTTTCCAAGATAGTGCACATTGCACCTATTTTCTCCAGAGAAGCTCACAAATTCAGCGAGATTCTAACACGATTTACAGTACATCATAGTATTCCTATTCAGACTACTATAAAACATTACTAGTCTTGTTAAAATCTTACTAAATTCATGGGCTTCCCTAGGGAAAATAGGTGAAATTTGCACTATTTCAGAAAGTTTTTGAGTATTTTGGCAATATATTGCAAATTGAGGCTGTAAGAGGTAGGCAGATAAACAAAGTATGCTTTTGTTTGACAATCTGGACTAAAACCAACAGCAAATTATAGGACTTCCATCGAGGTAAAATAATTCACTTTTCCCAACTTTTTGTACCCTTGCGGCCGGTTGTTGCCAAAAGGCAACATGTTGGCATTCGGCTCAGTATCAGTTCTTTTAACTCCAAGATGGATTTCGGTAACCTCCACATCTAAGAGACAAAGAATATATAGTAGGCGAATTTTTTGCTTGCTATCTTCTGGTAGCCGGCCGTAAAGGGTTAAAGAAAGATTTACATTGAAAATAAAATCATTCATTATTTGTTGAATACTGATTGAAAAATGTTGTTCATCTGTATCAATATTTTTACTTCTATTTATTGATTATTGCTTGATGATGATTTAAGTTCTTAGATATTTAAACCAAGTGATTGAATAAGATTTTTTATTAAACCAAGATAATCAAATATTAAATATGTACTAGTATTTTGATTGTGATGTTCAAGTAATTGATCTATTAAAATAAAGGACAATTATAATGAATTGAAATTATTATTTGAAATAAAACTTACTAATTACATTTGTCATTAGAAAACATGCTATAACCATAGAATAATATATTTGCTGAATAGGCCATGAGAAGTTTCTAAGAATAGTTTAGTAGTTTATTAAATATTTCAAAAGAAAATTATTTATTATTGATATTAGGAAAAAAACAGACGAATTCGTTTTCACTCGATTTCATACTTCAATGATAACGGAAGCCAGTAAACTACTATAACTAAATTACATCATTTTTTCATGAAAATTTAATGATAAATAATATTACTTTTTTCTTAAGTTGCATGAAATTCTACGCTCGATTACTTTCGAGATTGGATCACTCCAAATTATGGACAGCTTCTCAGTTCGTATTTCGTCAAACAGTATCCGACTACCTATTCTATATTATCTGAACAGCGACCTCTCTTGCTTGAAGTTTTACTGAAACACGGATTTAGAAGTTATCGATTAACTAGAACAATCCTTGTCCGTGAAATGATTTATGGACTTTTCTATATTTCAATTCAATCGCATGACAGTTCTCTGATTACTTCTTTAGAAGACGTGTTCTAGATGACAAAGATTTTCTTTTTTACTTACTTTGATTTCTTTCACATTAATTGATCAACCAAGAATATGAAAAATAAGTTCATAATATTCTGATAAAATGGTTGAATCATTTTCGGATTTGTTAAGTATGCTTATCTTGAAATAAAATTTATAATGGCTTCCTTGTGAGTAACATCTGCGAGATGTCGCGAGGTAAACTTCACTATTAAGCAGAGGTGCAGAATCTGCCGTAATTTCGAAAAATTTCCCGCAGCAACGATTTTTTTCCCCAGCGATTTCCCCAAACCGTCTCTAGAAATCGAAATTTTTCCTCCTGCGGCGCTGGCGCAGTCGGGTATATTCTGCACCTCTGCTATTAAGATCCATTAGAAAAAATTTTATACACGAAAAACTATTATCTAAGATAAAGGAAATGTTACGAAAAATATAAGCTTTTAAAAATGAGTTTCATCCTAAGTGCATAGATGAATTCTAAGTCTGTAGTCAGAGTGATGATTCATATGTATGTGATTACAGACTACACTGACTATAAGAAGATTTTTCTTCACTTGTTATTTTTTTGATTTCTATTGGTTTCTATTTTTGACAAATAAGAAATAACTGTCTTTGAGCCGCCACTACTTACAATGTCATATAATAATTTATGTTTCGTTTTCAAAATAAATTTTGTAAATAACAAATCGAGTTTAATAAAATTTATTTCATGTATAAACTCAATATAGTGATCGATTAATACACTAACAGGTTAAATATTTATCGATTGTTAATTCGACAGACTATTTGATTGAGCTTTTTTTATCGACTAGTATAAAAATTTTGTTATTTATTCAATTAAATTTTCATCTTCTAGATAATTTGAATTTCATTCATTTATTATTGTTATTCAATTTTGTCTTATATACATTATGATCAACGGATGAGTTCCGAGTCGATTTTATTCATCCGATAAAATAAAACAATCATGGATTTAACTATGGGCTTGTTCCGGTAGGAAATGACTGGAAATCGATGGGATATGAAAGCAGTATTCTAAATCGCAAAGTTTCTGAATTTTTTTCGGGGTTAGTGGAAAATGTCGAAAGAGGAAAATGTCTTAATGTAAACGTTAAAATACGAAAGTAAAGAAAACTATGAGAAACAAATATATCTAATAATTTATTAGATGTCAATAGAAAATTCGATGTTTTTATTTGTATTGGCCACCCGTCGATTAGCGCATTTTATTCTTCTGTGAATGAAGAAATTTTTTTTAATAATAAATATATATATATTCTAAATGACCTCAACAACATGTTCTGTAAATAATTCATCTATCACTCAGCAGTTTGAAATATTGTTCGCTACATCATATAAAGGCAAACCAGAGTGTGGGTGTGAGTTTTACTTTTTCTCATATCCACACCCACACCCTTATTTGTATTTTAGCTTATAACTTTCTATGTGCAACTAGATTGTCAAGAAAACATCCGAATATTTGGAGCTTTATACAATTAATTCAAAGTGAACATGTTCGTTTTGAAGATATTTCAACACAACTTGATGCTGGTGCATCAGCTCCACAGCAATCGAAAAAAGCAAAAGCTTTTCAGATTAGACTTGATACTCTTCATGATCGATTTCTAAAGAAGAAAATCAACGCAGATGAATTATTATCAGGTTTAGCATTGTTAACTGGAAACAAAAAGAAATAAAATTTTAGTATACTGTAAGCATTGTCTTTTCTTTTTTTATTCTACATTAATAAAACATGGCATTTCTTATGCATTACAAGAATATAAATATGATCATTTCAATCTTTCTTTCAAGTTGTTTAAGCTTTCGATATTTTCCTCTTTCGACATTTTCCTCTTCGACGTTGTCCTTTTCGACGTTTTCCTCTCTCAATATTTTTCAACATTTTCCTCTTTCGACATTTTCTACAAAGATCTTTTTTTCTGTGATTTCCAGCCAACTTCCTCATGTTTTTGAGAGAAAACGGTCAAAAGTCATCAGAAAAACCTGGAGATTGGTCGACACGAAATACTGTTTACACATTTCACCGATTTCTGGATAGATACCATGATTTTTTCGACTAATTCCATCGAAATCTGTTTGTTTCTTGAGGTCAAAACTATTGAACTAAATAGACAAGATTTGAGAGAATATAATTTCTATGGTATCTTCTGATTGTAAAAACAAATCTTGAATAGCAATTGCTAACACTTCTGTTCAGTCAAAATCAATAGATATGTTTTTATTTGACATTAAATTTATTAATAAATGATGTCTTATATCAATAATACCATTGAATTACTATGAATCATTCGCATTAAGACTGGTGTTGATGTTTTCAATATAAACTTTTTAATAGAACAAATTTATTTATGCAATCAATTGGAATGTATCCTTGGATTTTTATTCCATGTACAAGGATTAAATTTACATATTATATTGATTGGAGTGAAATATTAGCATCGAAATGCTTTATACTTGGTGAATTTTTTTGTAAAACGTTTAATTGTTTTTTTCACTACTCCTCAATGATGCTAAAAGATCTATCATCAGTAACTTTATAATATGTAATAAATTTGCTTATATATTGTTTATTTACAGTTTTTGTTTTAGCTCAGTCAACTTTTATGTAGTAAGCAAAAAAATCAATATCGCAAGCTTGAAAAAGAATATGAAACATGAAAAAACATTCATACAATTGGTTCTTTCTAGCTCCTAGATAATGACACGATACGCTCATATCCTATTACAATTGCTTGCATAACAACTGTTTTATTGTTTATAAATAAAATATTTTCATTGCAAGTTTGATGATTACATCTTTCAAGAGCATTTTTACAAATAGATATCCAATCGGTAATTGTCTCACTTCTTGAACTGTCAAATTCTACTGAATCTAAAAGAAGTTCAAAAAGAACTTCGATGCCATTCAGAATAAAACAGAATTCATATTATATCGAAATATTTTAAAGATAAAAATGCAGATGAAATGTAAATATTATTACGTCTAGCACAAGATAGAAAATTTGAAACATTCTCATCAAACACAGAATATATCGTACAAATCACAATGATTTGACTCATATCTTTCGTTTTTTTCCTCTATTCTTATCTTCCATTCTATTACTCATTCTTTGACTTTTTTTATTTTAGATAAACACTTATCGTTCTTTCATTATTGATTTATTTGAAAAAAAATCAAAGCGAAAAGAAAAAGGCAAATGGATGTTCAAGCGGATACATCGGCAGTAGTAGATGATGAGAATTTACCTTTACTTAATTCCGAAAATGCATTAGACGTATCCATCAGAACAAGACGTATGTATTCAAAGCTATTTAATAATTGTTTATTTTGTTTTTTTTTAAATTCTTTCTAGCATCCATGTCATGGATTATGGCTGCAGGTCTTATTGTTAATGCAGCTATGGGTGTAAGTTATTAATTAAACTAGATAGTAATATAAATTTTTTCTAATTTAAAAGAACCCTTCCCTCTTTTCCGTTTTTGAGGTTTCTAGGGGATAATTCTACGAAAAAATATGAAACCTTCAAGGCAAATAAAGCTCAATAATTCGAGCAAAAGATGTCATCGACTCAAAAGCCTTATATATTTTCTTTAGGGGAGTACTGGAGTCACAGAGAGTAATAATGCTCAAAAATTCTTCTCCTTCCTTGCAAAACTCTACAGTTTATTTCTTCTAGCTGCAATGTTTTTTTTCTGAACCTTTAGGATCAAATTGAATGTGCTGTTTTTCAATGTTACTAATTTGTTTGAACACTGCCAATTTTATAGGAACAATATTTTCACGAGAAAAAATGCGCATTCAAATCTGACCAGCGCACTCATCAAAAATTGAACTTGATCTGACGAGCCATGTGAAAGAAACGAGGGGAAAACTTCGCTCTTATGATCTAAAACTGATTTTGTGAAAACACAAAACAAAATTTCCTATAGATGTTAGGACTGTTTCTCTCCAACTAAAGTAATTAGAACTAGTGGGTGTTAAAGGTCTATGACCTATGCTTTCAGCACTTTTGGAGATTATCATTCGAAGAATTTTATATACAAAAAAAGTAATCGCAGTGCGAGTTTTTCTGCTGAAGATTTCCACAGTTGGGTTTAATAAAAGTAGTGATTAACAATGAAGAGCCCTCATTTATGTTGCATTTCAATTGAAAGTTATATCAGTGATAAAAAAACAAAATATCTAGAAAATTTTGATTTTAACATCCGAAAAGACGAGGATTTCCTTAAGTGAGTGATTAGTAAAGATCGTTGAATGAAAGACTTCAATTAGAGATTAGAATTTTAATTATCCTTGATCAGATATAATAAAGATAATTCTATAATTATTTCAATGATCATATCTTATAGAGATATTTCTTGTGCATTATTTATTAATAGTAGTTCATTGCTGCGAAACTCGACAGTTTTTTTTTCAGTTTTAACAATATGAATTGAACTAAAGTTTCACATAGATTTATTTATTATTCAACTAATGTAAGAAACAATCTATGACATCATTACAGGTGATATTTTAAAAAAAAGCATTCGCACATATTGTATTTTACAAACAGAAAAAACATCATTTCGTTTATTCATCTAAATGTTATTTATCTATGATTAGGCTGGTCTTCTGAATATAGCCAAAGCTTATGATGATGCTGGTGGTATATTTATTAGTTCAATTCTTCACGCAGTAATATTCTTAATAATAATATCTCATATATTTTACTCTGTATGTAAATATATTAGGTTGTTGTAATTTTGGTACTTGGTGCTTATGCTATCTTGTTTGTATGTTGTGATCAATCGATATCATCGTATGAAGCATTTGTTCTCATGAAATGTGGAAAAGTTTGGCAAAGAATCTGTTCTGTTTGTATTATATTATATATGTAAATAAAATTTTAAGAAAAAAAAAAAAAAGGAAAGTTTTTTTTAAAAACACTTAGAAACCATATATTTTAGGTATGGCTTAAGTATAACTTTTTTTATTATTATTGGAGATCAATTAGATCGATGTATGTAAGTAACATAATAGATTTTTAATAATATTGTTATTTTATTTAGTTCTTACATTTTTCGATCCACTTTTTTGTCGACATTGGTATTTTGATCGTCGATTTACAATACCAATTACATCATTATTACTTATATTTCCATTATGTTTTTCAAAAACAATTAAATTTCTTCAAATTCCTAGGTATTCATTAAAAACAAAAATCACACATCAGATATATGCATCATTTCAGTAGAGGTGGCTTCACCTTAATTACACCAGCTGTTACACTCTTTTATTAGAAAGTTTGTTTGAAAAAGAATGTACGTCAAACGCTGAAAAGTAAATAGAAGGGAATTAGTCGTCAACAGACACATTCTTTAGCTTTATTACATCATTTTAATTAAAACTTAATGAATTTAATTGTTAAGTTAAAACGAAAATGATCGCCCTATAAAACAAAATATTTGTTTGGGTCATATTTTGCCTAATAAAATGTTCTTTCATGATATTTTCAATTTGACATTGTTGTTCATGTGTAAGTGTTCAGCAATGAAAGATTATTAAAGTCTATAGGGTTGGTCTCGGTTTCAGAAATTTCAAACCCGACAGTTTCTATTCACTGAATACAATACAACGAAAAAAAGATGTCTCGTATCTTTCGGGCGGCTTTCCGATTCTGATCAGAAAAATTATTGAGTATTAAAGTAAGGCTCGACTGGTTCCCAATAATTTGGGCCCGACGAGCTGTGAAGACTATCTAAGAAATATTATAAAGTAACAAATATGAGAAAAAAAATTTTCCAGTTAACGTTATACGTAGCCGTTCCTGCTTCATTTGTTTGGTTCTAGGACTTTTCGTTGCAGGACAAATTGTTGCGGACAAATCGTTGCAGACAAATCGTTGCAAGGACATTTCGTTGCAGGACAAATCGTTGTAGGAAAATTAGCCGCGGACATATTGTTGCGGACAAATCGTTGCGGACAAAACGTTGCGGACAAAACGTTGCGGACAAATAGTTGCACGGACAAAACGTTGCAAGGACAAAACGTTGCAGGACAAAACGTTGTATGGACAAAACGTTGCAGGACAAAACGTTGTAGGGACAAATAGTCGCATGGACAAAACCTTGCAATCGTCAAATTTTATATTCTACAATAATAGATAAGAAATTCAGTTTTCATTTTCCAATATGTCAACTATTCCATTCTTTTGAAATATTTATTATTCTAGAAGTATAACAACGAATCAACCAATCATTGTCTACAAAAATTTAGTAAATAATTTTTTTTTTTTTATTATGCAATAACTGTGATCCTAAGATCCTAACAGTACCAGAAATGAGAAGAGAGAGAGAAAAAAAAAGTGAAATAAAACGTACACAGAACATATAAAAAGAAGGAAGGGTTCTACATATAAAAATGCAGAGGAAAGAAACCTAGTAAATAATTTTTAAACTATCACATTGGCACTGACATTTTTCAAATATTGTATACAGCAAATTATAGACTATTACCACGTTTTGTCCATACGACTATTTGTCCCTACAACGTTTTGTCCGTGCAACTATTTGTCCCTACAACGTTTTGTCCGTGCAACTATTTGTCCCTCGACGTTTTGTCCATGCGACGACTTTTTTACAACGATTTGTCCGCAACGAATTGTCCACAACGATATGTCCGCGACTAATTTTCCTACAACGAATTGTCCTGCAACGAAATGTCCTTGCAACGATTTGTCTGCAACGATTTGTCCGCAACGATTTGTCTTGCAACAAAAAGTCCGGTCACCCATTTGTTTAGGCGTGGCATATATCTCTGACACATATTTTTATTTAGTATGCTAGGGGTATTGGCCATCATTTATGTTGTTATTATGGTACCTATTGAATATTTTATAAAGAGACCAACAGATGTTTTGATAAAAACAAGGTAACGAATAAAATTTACGAGATATATAATTTTCTTTTTGATGATTTTAGTCCGGAATCATGGACAGATATTTTCTTAGTTTTACCAACGATGTGTTTCTCATATCAAGTTTGTTTGTTTAGCTTTAAACTTATTTAAATCATTATTTTATAGGCACATGTAAATGCTGTACCAGTTTTTCTTTCATTAAAAAGTCGTGCTGATTGTATTAAAGCAACAATAACATCAACAATAGTTCTTATTCTTAGTTATGGTTTCGTAGCTGTTTGTGGTTATCTTACATTTGGTACTAAAGTTGATCATGATATTTTAATGTCTTATCAGCCAATATCATCCGTTGTACTTATTGCTATAATTATGGTAGCAATTAAAACTTATACAGCTTATCCAGTAAATTTATTTTGTGGACGGTAAAAAGAAAAATGAAATTATTGAATAATTTGCGTTTGTTTTTTGTCTCGTTTTATTACAAAAAAATTAGAACGGCAATTGATTCATTATCAAAGGAATCAACAACATCATTGATAGCTACTGATCCAAGACAATCAATAGAAGGTCGAATTTTAATTGTTTGTCTTTGGTTTTTTTCAACATTAGCTGCTGCAGTTTTTTTACCAAATATCTCCATAGCAATACATTATTTAGGTGCGCTTGCAGCAAGTTTCATATTTATATTTCCAGGTACAAAAAAAAATTCGATTATTACTTTTTTTTCGTTTGTTTTCATTAGAACTTTTTTTTTTTTTATTATTTTAGGTCTTTGTTTATATTTTCATATTGAAGAAAAATGGATTAACTCATGGGGAAATATTATATCGATATCTATTGCTATTTTTTATGTTGCAATTGGAGTATTTGTTACTGTATTAACATTACTTCAATCATTAATATCTGATATTAGTGCTAAAGAAACTAGTGCAACAAAAACATGTTAATATTCTAAACTTGAATAAAATTTATATGGATCTGATCTTATTTTTTTACTTGTTTTGATTCCACGTTAAAGTAAACAACGATAAGTATCCCAATTAGAAATGTACTTAATAGTATTCTTCATATAGTAAAAAAAATTATCATTGACATGCTACTTCAATGTATTGTCATTTCTTTTGTTTAAAATGACTCGAGTCCTAGTTATTAAGTTAATTACACAATAAAAAATATTCTACGCATGAGTATAGTATTTCCGTCATTATAAATAGAAATATTTCAATGTTTAATGTTCCTAGAATACTTGTGATTTATACGTAGAAATTTGTATAATTCACAAAAAGAAGTCATTGAGATAGTTACGTAAGAATTTTAAGAATAGTGAAAGTTATATTTTTATATTTAACTCAATAATTTTTATTAAGCATTCTATGATTTATTGAATATAGTTTTTAAATATTGAATAAAATAAGATCTGTAGATGTACAATAAAGCTTGTTATATTCTAAAGAATGTACTCAGTTTAATTATAATATATAAGAGATTTAGATAAGCCATATGTTCTCCTCTTTTGTTAATAGTTCAAAAGATTTGTGACAATGAGCAATAGTTCTATCATGTCCTTTAATACTAATGCATGAAAATTCAGGATTTTTTTGTTTTGATGATTGAACAATTCTTCCGCTTAATAAAGAAATCTTTTTGTAAGTTTTAATAGAATATACTAAAAAATAAATGAGACTACACGAAGTTTTTAAAAGAATAGTTTTGATTTCATAGAAAACTTTTTCATGAGCTATATTTTTATAAAAATTCTTAAACGAAATTCTTGTTTTTTTATTTTAAATAAAATAAATGATCTTCGAAAGAAAAAAAAATAGTTTTTATTGTTTTATTATATTTGTTCCGAATTTTAATAATATCTTTGATTAAATTAAAATTGCAGTGTTTGAATCATTTGTGTTTATTGTTGAAGGTATTCAATTTTATGTTATTATTGTTGTTACTGAATTTCTTATTTGATCGTATGGAACCATAGAATTTAATTTATTTTGTTCATGTTTATAAGTTACGTAGTGTAAATGTCGTCCACGATGATTTGATGTATTTGTAGGATTCATTAAAAAATGCTTTTTACGATTAATTGATAACTTTTCACTATGACTTCGACAATATTTAGATGATATTGAACGGTTTAGTTGATCATTTAGATATGATACGTTTTTTGATTTTCCACAATTAGTATCATGTATCGAAAAACTATCATAACTTTTTATTCCATTAGTATTCGTATGTAAATTAATGAGTGATCCTGAACGATTAGAAAATGGATGAAGATGATGTTGAGATTGTATTGGTATATCAAAAGATTTTTCTCTTATATGCTTTATACTTTCACGATTTGTTCCGTTCTCTGTTTGTCGAACGAGATGATTATTTCGTGTTTGCGACTCCCAAGAGTTTGCTTGTGTTATCTTTAAATATAGAAAGATAAAGATGCGTGAGAATAAATCTTTTTTTTTCTCTCTATTTCTTTTGATGCTATCCTTCCTTCCTTCCTTTTCCTCGATATTATTTAATAATTAGATGTGAGAAAAAAAAACCTCGTAATACAATATAATGACTTGACATATTGAAAATACTTACATCAGCTTGTTGTGAATGTTGTTGTACATGTCGAATTGATGAATTTGATCGTCGAAATGATAGATGACTTGGTGTACGTAAAATTGCACTTCGACTTTTTGTTGTATGAAAACAAACACGAGTTAATTGACGACGAAATCTTCGATTAAAATATGTAAAAATAAAAAAATTCACCTTCAAAATAAAGAAAATTTTTTAATTAGTAATCATAGACTTGATAAATATGCTTCTTACTGCACTATTAACAAAAATTAAAAAATTTGATATATCATAACAAATATAGAGTATCGGATGATTTCGATAAAACATATAAAGATAATGAAGAATGGATGCTGGAACTTGACATAATGTAAATAATCCAATTAAACATATAACAGAACGTGTTATTGCACCTTCACGATGTCGTGATCTATTTGTTTCATGTTCTATACGTGAATTTTGTACATATAATGATGTAAAATGTTTAAGAAAATTTGAACTAGCATTAATACTTCGAATAAGTTCAATATTAAAATAAGATAACATTAATAATGGTAATATACTTTGAAAAATACTATAAAGAACTATTTAGAAAAGAAAAAGAATGGAATTTTGATATAGAAATATAGAGGAAAAAAAAATCTTCGTACTAAGATGAACAATATAATGATAAACATGATTTTCAAGTACTTTATTTGAGACAACTAAATGATCAATATATTCAGTAAGATTTCCGATGAGAATTAACTTTTCACGTTGTAATTCAGTTTTATATTCAAAAAATCTTGGTATTGAATATATTAAACCGAAACAATAAATTGTAAAAACAATATAACTAAAAATAAAAAAAAAGAACGTTTATTTTCTCAATCGGACTGCATATAATAAATAATTTATTTATGCGAGACAGACAATATTGTGAATGGGGGAAAGATCGAAGTGTTTTTGAGACAAGTGAAAATCTTGGTTCCGCTGAGGAGAAAAGAGAGTTTTACACTCTAAATACGCTTCGAATGCGTCATTGCTGTATAAAACATTGAATTGAAATTAAATTCAATATTTATGAAACTTACGACGCTCGTTTTGAACTATATGTGTAATGTAACATTGGCCATTTAATAGCAAACCATCTATCAACAGCAAAACCGACAGTTATCCAAACACTGGTAAATTGAAACCATATAATACAGGGATAAACATATGGAAAGATACGTTTATGAAGACGTGATGAATAAAATAATTCACTCTGTTTATTTGGATGAATTGAATCATTGATTGCTATAATAAGACCCATCAATAATAGACAACTATCACTTATGCTTAAACTGGCTAAATATGTCGATAAGGTACTACGCTATTAGAAATAAAATAAGTTAGAATAGTATTAATTGTGAATCGAGTTTTTTTTTAAATGATTTGTTAAACTTACCATGTGACGACGAGTAAAGATGTACACAGAACATAGAGCAAGAACTAGTCCTATTGAACATAAGGCTGTACCTGTAAATACGATAAAATTAAGTTACTGATGAAATTTTAATTAAATATTTTTTGCTTACCGACATAGCCAAAAAAATAATGTGTAAATAACATAAGCCACATATTAAATAAAATATGTACTCATTTATGTTAACTGTAAAGAAAGTATAACCTACTAGAAAGTTGCAGTAATGAGAGCTGTTATAGAATGACTACTGCTTAGACTATTAGAGTAAAATAAAATATAATACTCGTTTTTCTTTGCGATGAAAATATCATCTCTAGTTTTCTTTCTTTTATAGAAGATTATGTTTTTCTTTTTTTTGTTCTTCCCTTTTCATAAATATATATAAATGTATATGTGTAATGTCTAGCATACACAATATATTTTTCACAATAGGAAACAGGTCATGCGAATGACATTCTTATGAACTATTAATAGAAAATTTAAATAACAAATAAACTAACAAAGTACTAGCAAATCGTCTAAGTTTCAGCAGAATAGATCACACTGTAATTACAAATTTTTTTTTTTATCATTTAACTTTTAAGCAGTATTGTTGCATGTGATTATACAGTTAACGCAGGAATATTTTTCATGTCACAACATGAGAAACGACAGGAAATACACAGGATAAATAGACTGACTGGAAAGTTTTCCCTATTTTCAATAATTAGTTGAATATAACTAAATAAAAGAATACTTAACGAACTAATACGACGAAACATACCACTTTAATGTAATTTTAATACATATATATAGATATATAGATATATACATGAAGATAGGCAGCCAATAGAGACCTAAGTGATCTATCTTGTAACTGTAGATATAAAGTACTTTATTCCATGATAACTAAGAAGATGAATAAACAATGAGAAGTGAAAGATGGAGATAAAGATAAAGAAATTCTTCTTATTTGTCGCATATTGAATAACAATGTTTATTATACTATTTAAAAAAAAATCATCCATATCGTCAGTGAACATCATAAAAAAACCGAAACTTATTTTATAATGAAATTCACGAATTTATTAATTCGTTTGTTAGATAGATTTATTCGATTATACGTTCTTTTATAGTATATGTTAATATAGTCTATTTATATTTAACTCAAATTAAGTTAATCATATGGGAGAATGCTCAACATCATTGGAGAATTTAAAAAAAATTAAAGAAAGAAGAGAATAAATGTAAAATGAGAAAATGCAACCAGATATTATTCAAAGTTACATGAGTCTTTCGAAGCATCTTAATAGAAAAATCAAAGAGAAGAAAAATCTTTTTTAATCAAGATTAACAAACATATAATTTAAATAACATAACTTAATGATAATTTTTTAAATGATGTTTCCATGGTTGATTATTACTATTAAGTCTTGAATGACGTAAATCGTTATTTATTTCACGAAAAACAGATGATATATTTTGATGATTATCATATTGAATTCTATCCAATGATGATTCTTAAAAAAAAAAACAAAAAGAAAAGAGTTTTAGATACGACATAAGCATCAAATATACGAATTATATTAGATAGATTTTATGAAACTCAATCTAAAAGGAGTGATAAAGAATAGGATCGAAATTTGAAACCCTTTCTGTTTACAAATGGGATAGACACTTTAGCACTGTGTCTCCACCGTCACAGACATAAGTAGGACACCAAGTTTCACTGTAGGATTACTATGAGAATTGTCCATTGCTTTTCTTTCACATTATATTGCAACATATTGCGATTAATATTTTTTATCATCGACATGCATTAACAGTACGTAGGAATTCATTAACCGAAATAAATATTGACAAATTCCCTTTTTAAGAACACGAATAGCTCCATCGTGTTTCACATTTTAATCCTGTAGAGGTAGCACTAACAATTCTTATCATAGATATCAGTTCTAGAGGTTTTTCTAACATGAATATGACTTTTTCTATTTAATATTCATTAATATAATTTAAAAAAAACGTGTATCTACTGTGAAAATTACAGATATGATATGATATTTATGAACAAGAAGAAATAGAATATCTAGGCAAAAGCATTTAGTTTATAGTTGTATGAAAGATTTTATTAATTCCAAATCCGTTAACATTTGTATTGATACCAAAAATACAGATTTTAAAAACGCATGGTCAATGTGACATTTGTTAAATGTGTCGTAAATGTGCGTGCTTTAAATAGGGTGTATGTTAATTATTTAAGTGATATTTATAGCGAAATTATTTTTCTTTTTATCTGAACACGAATGAAAAGTGTCAAAGAAAATAAGTTTTATTCAGTCAAGATTTCCGGTCGACGTACAAACAGTGAATACTCAACCAAGTGACCTGTATATCATAAAAGCTCAACATAGACATCATTCAGAAATTATAGAAATAGTATCAAATTTTTCTTTTGATAGAATAGAAACAAAACAAGTCTTTTCATTCTCTCTTTTTGTACGAACAATCTAAAAGGAATTTTGAAGTGAAGAGGTAATAATTTGGACCTCCCTATAGGCTATAATAGACACCGAAGCAACATTTCCCTTTCTGTTATAGTTGTTGTTGATATACAAACATAGATCGTATATGAATAATGTCTGATTATAATATATGAACTATTTCCTTATGGCATTGCTGGAGGATTAAGTAAAACGAACATCAACAAATGTGCCTGAATAAAACAATCTTCCTATGACTAACAACAGCATCTATCTTCTATTTTGTATTTTGCTCTTCTAGGAAATTTGCTTTTACCCTTTTCATAATGTGACAACTTATACTTAACTCTATAATATTATTTTGTGATATTCCTAAGAAATGATGATATGATACAAAAAAATAAAAAGAAAACCCTGTTTTGCATGACAAAGCCTGTATTAATATTTTATCCAGCATAGAAATCGGAATGACAAATCAATGACTACTTTAGAATTCTATTTATTACAAATTTTGATTGTAGTTGATTTTGAGCTTTTCTATCCGATAATATGATTTCTAAACAGCTTCGTACCGTACTGAGTGCGGCAAAATTTTTGTGACATATTTTGTTTTGTATATATCTTTGTTCAGGAGCATGACGAAATGTTGATCTCTTTTTTTTAAACGATGCGCCATAGCATTCTCTACAAACTTGCATCTATATTAATTTAGAACAATAGAAATGAACATTTTTATGGGTCTCGGAGTGTAATTATGTGAACTGAGCTTACTTCTGACATGTTTTTTAGTATTTTATTCTTTTCATGAAAGTGAATATTTAATTCTTAGATCATGATTTACTGCTAGGCGGCTTTTGAAAATCCTCTGTCGATTATTTGTATATACGAAGCTTTTAAAACGCTTATTCTTTCGGTTAGACACATGGTCATATTTTGAAAATAGCGCAATTTTCATGTTTGATTACGCCTTTTCAAAGAAAGCATTCTAAAAATATCACTTATGACCAAACCATTTTCATTTTCGCAATGTTTTGTAGAAAATTGATTTCTTTTTTTATGGAAGGCTCTAGTAATGCGTGGGAAAATAGACAAATATGGATTGTAATCGAACACTTACAAATAATTCTAAAAGAGCATTTGATATACATTCAATTTACAAATCGAAAGCCTCTTTCGAGCCTGTGTATAACTCTTCGAAAGATCGTAGGAACAACAGAAATTATTGTGTGGAAAGTAGGCTCAAGTAACATAATTACACTATGCGAGCTATAAAAATGTTCATTGATTATGTTCTTGAACAGAGATACATGCAAAACAAAAAATATCGCAAAACTTTTGCTATACTCGGTATGCGAATGCCAGTTTGTCAGATGTTCATGATAACTATACATTTGATAGAACAATGCGTTGCTATATACGGTTGAAAATGTTATCTGTTTTAATCGAAGCGAAAAAAAAATATTCTTAGAAAATTTAAATTGATTATAGATTCTATAATGCTTTGTTTTTCATCTACACATGGTAATAATTAAATAACAATACCAAAAACAAAGATTTTCTTTGAAGTTTTAGATAGAAAATAAAGATGAGCATTGACGTTCATCTTCAAATGCATTGTTCTTATACTAATGAACTTATTCGTAATGTTCTTGAAGAAGAAAATGGCTCATTTAATCTAATAGACTCAGGAATTTCAAATAGTGATAAAGTTCTTTATTGGCTTGAATATGAAGATATTGATTTTGATATGCTTTATCGTCTAGTTAAAGAATCAAATAATAAAAAGATTTTAGCTAATTCATATTGTATACGTAAAGGTCTTTTACGTAAAGCTAATTTTGCATTATTTGTTCAAAAATATTTGTCAAAAGTAAAACAATAAATTTTTTTTTGTTAATATTACTATTTTTATTTTTTATCTACTATGTTCATTAGCAACCAGATTCAATTTTACGTAATCATTATCCTGAAACTCATATACTCGATTTAAGTCATCCAGATTATCTTGATGAAGCACTTAATGAAGCATTTGAATTACGAGATATTTTAGAAGAAAATACAAAAGATGATGTTGAACCAATTCCTTTTATTCTTAAAGCATCAATTTTAGACAAGGCAAGTGAATTATTTATTTTCTATACTCAATCACAGTTGGAAGAATTTTTTACTAATAAATATGATGACGATGATGATGATAATGATGATAATATAGCTAATGTACGTGAATGGATAGTTCAACGTTATATAAAAAATCCAAAACTTCTTCCAGTATATCAAAATCGTAAATTTCATTTACGTGTTTATGTTATTGCTGAAAGAAATCTTCGTATTTATGTATATGATGGTATATTAGCTTTATTTGCATCATTATCGTATAATAATGATAAAGAATCATTTGATCGTCTTCGTCATATAACAAATACATGTGCACAAGTCGATTCACAATTAAATGAAGATGATTTAGTAAAAGAATTTTTTACATTAGAAAATATTGATAATGATATACGTTTAAATATATTTGAACAAATAAAATTAATTATAAAAGATATTTTTACTGGTCTTCATAATGAAATAACTATATTTCAACCATTAAAAAATGCTTTTGAAATTTATGGATTTGATTTTTTAATTGATGAAAATAATCAAGTTTATTTTCTTGAAGCAAATGCTTATCCAGATTTTAAACAAACAGGAAATTTATTAAGTATATTAATTAAAGAATTATTTCAAAATATAGTACAACATATTATTTTACCATATTTTGGTTATGAACAAACAAATAAAATAACTCAACGTAAATTACATCTTGTTTATGATAAACAAAAAACTATTTAAAGAATAATACAAGTTTTATGTTTTTTTGTTTTTGGTTTTATGTTATCTTTTTTTGTTTGATTATCAGTTTTTAATAAAGTTTTCTTTGGAACTGTTTTCGATTTGAAAGATACATTTGGTTTTGATTGAGATGACCCTACAAAATGAAATAAATTAACGATTTATTTTAACTCAGGGAGAGATATGGGAATCAAAAACAAAACACTAATATATACATATATCTCTACCTTAAAAACTATTAAATCAATCATGACTAACCTTTGACAAATTGTGTTGGAGTTTGTTTGATAATACTACTATTTTTTTTCGGAACATTGACATTGCGTTGTTGTTTCGGACTAGTGATAGGTTGGACGGATTTTGATGGTAAAGTTTTTAATAAGTCAGACGAGGGTATTTGAATGAATTCTTCTTTACTACCTGGTGATGATAGATTTTTAGATCTTTTAGAGACCAACGATTGTGATGATGGAATTACACTTGATGAAGCATTCTATATAAAATAATGATCTTAATGTAGAATTCATTGGTTTTAAAACAAAAATATTAAAAGAATTTTCTTAGCTGATTAATTACTTTTGAATTGGAAACATCTGCATTATGTAAATCATAAATAGTTACAAATATTCCAAAAAGTTTTCAGGCCCACAGCTCCTTGCAACTGATATATTGCATTTTTACAGAATTTTTCAATACAATATGGATTACGAAGAAGATTTATTTTGAATTTAGATAGAAACAAGCCTCAACAAAAATAGTCAATTGTGAAAGTATTAGACCATTTGTCCAGGAATAAGTACATCGAATCTTCACGTATGTATAAGCGATGTTCTTGTCAATGCTTTGTTCCCATGCGAATTTGACAAGCAGTTTTCTTGATGTTTCTCATGGCATTGAAAAAGTCTATAAAAATACATTATGTCGGCAGCAATAAGCGATGATTCTGAACTCTTTTGCAAGATGCTTATAACCCATGAGTGTCTACTTGATCTATAGAGTACCAACTTAAAATTGATTAATCAGTTGAAGAACTCCCCGATGAACATTTTTTCAAAGTTGTCCTAATATATCTAGAATATAGTATGTCTCTTGTTTGACAAACAACATACGATGTTCATGTAAAATATCTATCCTTCTTCTAATATGAGTCATCTTTCTTTCAAATTATCAGATTAAAATGTCATACACTTCAAGTTTTTCAGAAAGTGACCTCTCAAAAATCGAAAACATCTCCCTTCAAACTTTAAACTATCAGTCACTTTATGCAGTATCCAACACTCTTTCGATTGTGGTATTCTAAAAGAAAATTTATAAGGAGTTTACACGAATATTTTGTATTGCTTGTCGTAAAATAAGTATATTATATCTTAGACTGCTTCGTTTAAAAAAACCATAATTACTAAAAGTGAGCTCGTACTCTTCTGTTTGAATTTATATACAGTGACATCGAAAATTATTCTACCAAATTTGTTTTTTATATGTTTCTATTGCCCTTAACATTAAAAAGAATTTATATAACGATTTGAGTAGAGAAGTTTATTCTCAACAAGAATTTTAGAATATGGCAATGATATTCCTAGTTGTCTCACAATTGTGTTTCTGAAAAACCAAAATAACCAACTTTTTTTTATTTCTTGGAGTCTGTTTCTATTACCAAGAATGATAGAGCAAACGGGTCTCTACAACATAAAATGGAAGTGCGAAAGTCGTTTTTTTCCTCTTATTTCTTATGAAAATGCCATTTTTGTGCTTTCTATAAAGTTTATATTTCTTTATCAAGAAATTTCATAAACAGCTGCGAAATGTTTCATTTTGTAGAATCTTATCTGTTCTATCATTCTGCATACTTTCAGCACAATTCTAAGATGTGAAAAGTTTGCGTTGGAAGTTTTTCAGAGATCCTATTCTTGGAACGCTAACTATCACTTATAGTGTCAAAAACTCTTGTTGAAAATAAAATTCTCTACTCAAATTACTATTTGGATTCTTCTTAACGTTCATAGCATCGAAAATACATTAAAAATAAACCTAATTAAATAATTTTGAGAGTAACTGTAGGTTTAGCTTTTATAGAGCAAAGTTTAAAAAGTCGTTCAATAAAAATTGACTAGCTCAGATTGTTATATATCCAATTTTACAATGATTCAACATTAAAGAGTAAAATTTTCCTCAAGTATAGTATAAACACTGACTGTAGTTTTGACGCAAGCTGTTCATCAAAAGTCAGTTTCATATGAAATTTATATTAAAAACAAATTTGTCTAAAAAGCTTTATTCGATATTATATGTAAGTAGTTCAAATAACAAAAATGCTCTTTTTGATTTGTTTGTTAACAGTTAAAAGGCATCTCGATATTTAGTTTATATGTAATATTGTAGACTATTATCATTTGAAATCAAACAAATACTTCTATATAGTGAAAACAGAGTCATTCAGCAGAGAGAGTAATTGTGAAGACTGTTTCCATGAATCAATCTCAGAATTGCATCAGTAATACAGACAAATGTTTTTACTATTAAATACAAGTAACACAAAAAGAAGTACAAAATACCTTCAAACCTTTATCATACAGATTTAATTTCGATGTTTTTTTTCTTTCCATCTACATAAGGCTAACATTCGTAACTTGTTCTGTTTGAGAGTTATAACACTTTTCCTGAGAGCTTTGATTCCAGTGAATTGACCTGTGATTGCCCAAAAAACACAGCTAGATAGGAGTAATTCCCTGTGCTCAGTCGAATGGTGATATTTGTTTTTGCGCTCGAAAATGAATTAGTTCTGTCATCGCAATATTTTTGGAACTCTGTAATCAGCCTCAATCTAACGAAGGAGTCGATAGTTTTAAATATTGGGATAACAAAGTCAGATCATTTGAGAGCCTAACAAGAAATATTACCATCCGACTCGGCATGGGAAATTACTCCTGTCTAATTGCTTTTCCGAGCAATCATAGGTCAATTGACTGAAATCATGGGCCTCAGGACAAGTGGTACAACTCTTGAACGAAACAAGCTATAAACTTCAGCCTTGTGTAGGTCGAAAGAGAAGAATATTTTCTATCGAGTAGTCTTACTAAAAGTGTAAGTCGAAAGGAAAATATCTTCAAAATAATGTTTTCGAAAACTTTCACATCAGAATTCATCTAATTGGTCAATTGCTTACCAATCAGATTTTGACATATCTCGACAGCCCTGGGCCTTCTTCCTTGAATAGAGAGAACCGGACCTCTCTATGATGTTTCTATCAAAAGTTATTCAAAAAACAATGAAACACATAATATTTTCAAATGGATAGTAGGTCAAGTGAAACATAAAACCTTCGAAAGGAAAGTTAAATATATTTGATAAATTATCGACATACTTCTGATATAATTGAAGGTGAAGTTTGACTTTCTTCTAGTCTAATTACTTTTGTTGGTGCATTTGTAGTTTGTGTACGATATGTGTCTTTAGTTTTTAATGATGCATATTGAGCAATTTTCTCACGTTTATAAATTTTATTACGATATTCAAGAAAATTTGATAATGCTTTACAATGATTTAATTTTCGATAATGAATATAAGATTCAAGAGAATCACCAATGACTGTATATGCATTCTAAAAGTAAAAAACAATTCTTTATTGATTTCAGTAAAATAATAAATCTTACACCTCCAAATCGAATTTTTCAATATTATTATTAACTGTTGCTAGACAATTTTTAACAGATCGATCATATGTTCGTTCGAAAAATTTACTAGAAAAATCAAATATTTTTCTGTCCGTTTCATACATATATAATTACATATCAAATTTTTTTACATGATCATTTGTTTGTTGAAATTCTTCATCATTTATTTTTGTTTGACTCATCGTTTTTGTTGTAATATCTGCTGATTGATTTTCATCATAAAAATTTTGTTGATGATGAGAATTAAATCTTGGTAATAATAAACATGTTAATTGTGGTTGAGATACTGTTTGAGATATAAGAAAATTTTCATCAATTCTCTTTTTATTTATTGTATCATAATAAATAATATTTTCAGATGATAATGAATTATATGGATAGATTGAATTTGATTGAGGTATTTGTTTCAAATGTGTTTCATTGAGGATCGCTTGGGAATCAAATCGTGGTAACATAAGTAATGGTTCAATACTTTTCTGATGACTATTTTTCATTGAATCGAATAATAAAAAACAAAACGAATTCAATAATTATATGTAACTAGGATATTCTTTCATAGGAAATATTTATAAAAAAGTCAAACAAATATTTCATGTTTGTCTGTACGATTTGATCACATGTAGAAAAATATCAATAAATTTGTTAATAAACTTCAAATAAGAACAAAGTCATCAATATTTGGAAGCGATTTTATTTCCAAATCAGATCGAATTCATAGTTTTTAATCTTCAACAATAAAACTTAACTCGATAAATCTTACCATACAATAAGTGTCACCATGAAAACTTCGAAGATGGTAAATGGACATTCATTTTGTCTAAAACACTTTGATCATTTCATATAATCTAAACTTAGTATAGCTAAAAGTTTGTACCATTGAATGGAATTCAAGATTATACATATATTTATGCTGTTTTTTCCGTCATCATCAAAACGAAAAAAAATAATAATAGTAATAATGAACAACAAAACAACAACAAGCAAAGGATCAAAAAAAGAACCATGGCGAACTGAATATTAAGAGAAATACTAATATTTGGAAATATATCTTATCCAAAGATGAAAAGAAAAAAACGAAAGAATTCACATATTATAATAGGAGACAAGAAAAGAAAAAGAAAAATCACAATATGCAACAAAATTTATTAATAATAAGTCTCTATCAGCAGTATATTGGAAAAATTGATCACAGATGAAAATTCCTATGAAATAAGTTTATTTTTCTGTTGTTTCAGTTTTAATTGCTACTGCTGTTGTTTTATCATCATTAGGTGTTTGTATACGACATATACGTTTTACTTTTGCTCGATGATTTTTAAACCATAAACGTATATGTTTTGTTTCAAGCTTAGGAAATTTTGTTCGATATTCACCTTCATTTAATTCTGAACAAATACGTTCAATTAATAAATGATCAGGATGTGTTTCAATAGCAAACCATTGTTCTAATTTAGGTACTTCACTTGTTGGATCAATAAATATTCGATTACGTCTTGAACGATTATAATCAAATGTTGTTAATTTTGTTGAATTTAATGATGTTTGTGTTGATGGTGATTGTTCATTACTAATTAAACTTCCATTATCATCATCATTACTTTCATCTGAATGTGTTAATTTTTGTTTTTGTTGATCCGTTAATGATATATCAAATGCTTGTAAATAATTAAAATAATAATTATTATGATGATTTTGTTGTTTTTGATTATTATCATCAGTATCATCCATTGGATCATCAACATCATCATCATCAATTTCATCTGATGAATCAAGTTCACATTTTGTTGTATATTCTTGTATGGTTGCTGTTTCCGATGGTATAAAACGACGTTTTTTACGTTTAAGTGCAGCACGAGCATTCTTAAACCAATATTGAATATTATATGGTTCAAGAGCTTTTTTACCTAAATTTAAAGTAATAAAAAAAAAATTTACAATTAAAAATCTAAATAAAAACCTTTTCGACATGGTAAAGCATTGAGAGTTTCACATATTGATGCTATTTGATAACGTGTAGGATGTTTTGTATCAGTAAATATTTGTAATAAACGTGGTGTTTCTTCATGAGGATCAAATGTAGTACGTTCACGTTGACGTCGATTTGTTGATGTTGAATCATATTGTTGTTGAGTTAATGATAGAAGACTAGCAAATGTATTTGAATAATGCATATTTGATTTTAATGATGATGAACATGGTTTTTTTGAAAGATTTAATGGAATATTATCACTAAAACAAAAACAAGAAAATTTTGTTAATTAAATCTTAAAATATTTTCTTTTTTGAATTTCTTTTTATTTTTTACCCGTCAGTAGTATTAGAATTTGATGAATAACCATTTGGACTATGTTGATCATCATATTCACAATCATTTTTATCTCTATCATCAGTCATTAAAGATATTGATTGTTTAAAATAATGATTTGTTCGTCTATTTTCCGATGAATTTGAACATCTGTTAATAAGAATAAAAAAGAATTTTTTTTTTTTGTTTGCCTGTTTAATTAATTTTATTTTTCTTACTTTGAAGATATACGTATTTGTAATCTAGCAATATTCATCAGATCACCTAGAATATCTTGAACAGTAACTGTACGATTTTCAGTAACTGCTTCAATTGATAATGGATTCCAATTTTTAATTAAAATTTCACCTGATATTAAAAACAAGAAAATAGATTTTCAAGATTTTTGTTTTCTTTTCTTACCATCAATTTTTTCATCTTGTTCTATTTTACCAACATCAGCTTCCATACTACGTAAAACAACAGGAACAATATCATGAAATTTAGTATGTGCTGGAATGATTACAAAACCATCTTGCAAAACACGTTGTGGACACTCATCACGTGTGACCACACAGTGTACTGGTAAAAATTTATTGTTTAACGCCAGACCTAAAATAGAGAAAAAAAAAAGAATAATAATAATAAAATTTCACACATTTTGTTTGATTTGAAAAAAAATAAGTGGTGTTAGAATTGTCTTGATGATTGAACACATTTTATTTCCCTTAAGCAATGTATTACCTGAAGATAATTTGTCTAAATGACGTGAAACCATTTTTTTATTACAAAAAAAGAAAAAAGAAAAATTTGCTTGAAATCAAACGAATAGTTCGTTAGAAGTTTTCTTCTTTTTCTTTTTTTTTTTTTTTTCAATTAACAAATCCTTTTACTGTTTCTTGCTCTTCGTGCTTCAACTCAGAACAAGAAGAAAAGAAGATATGATACACGAAAATGATCGGGGGGAGACGTCTTCCTTTTTTCTCTCTCATTTTTTTTCTCTTATTACAACCAATCAATTGACAACGAACATATATCGGAGTTTTGTAAATCATACCGTTTCTTTTCTCAACATCATTTTTATTAGTCAATATTTCGTAACACTCAAGCCGCACTGAACCGAAACAACCAACCAGTAAAAGCGATAAAGAGAGTGGGCAAAAAAAAAACCTTGTCAATGAATCAATAAGGACATATTACTGTGTATCGTCTTCTATGTTGATAATTTTCTCCAATTGCTTTTTTTTTCCTGCATTATATTTATTAGTGATTATTGCAATAAAACAAGATATCAATCATGTCCTATATGTTCGTGTTCTTTTTTTTTTCTCTTCATTTTTGCTGAATAATTTGTTTTATCTTGATTTCCCCGCTCTCGTTTTATTGCACAACGTTAGCCAAGCGTAACCATCTTAGTATGTATATGTATGAGCTAACATCCAATCATACGAATGCGTTAGAGAAAGAGAGAGAAGACGCTGTAAAGCAAATTGACAAATGTCATAAAGTCTGCGTTCTTCTCTGATTTTTTTAAAATCGTATATTTTTAACGATGTATTGATCTGTCAACATATACTTGTGTGTCTTAAATCAACAGAACAGACGCGCCTTTATAGTATAGGCACGATTGCTTTACTCAACAGTCTTGTTAGTGAGATAAGTAATACCCTATTCAATTTCACTAGTCGTTTCACCTCATCCACTGTGATGAGTAACAACTGTTGTTTAGTGATAATAGCTTCTCTATCGTTATATCAACACCCAATAAAACTTCGATGCGAAATAACAGAATGAAACGCAATTATATGTATATATACATATACATATATACACTCACTTGCTGGGTTGAACAGGCCAAGTGACATTTTGATAGTTGAGAAAGAATGAGGTTAAGCTTTATTTTACGTTTTTTTTTAAGTGTTAATCACATTGGCAAACCAAATATATACATAGCAATAGCAACCATGATTTCGAAATGAAGATGAAGCCGGCTGATGCCATTCTTTCTCTCTATCGTCTAGAGTCTTGAATAAAAAGAAGAGAGAGAGAGAGAAGAGAAGAGAGAAGAGTATTTTAACTTAAGTTGACATACGGATGCATTATTTCTCACTTTTTTTTAAGAGAAAAAGAAAGTGAGTCGGAGTTATAAAATGCAATCGAGGGAAAGAGGAAAATTGAACGTTTCAATCTAATGCTCGACGATTATCCCAACAACAACAACATTATCGTATATAACAGTCGTTGGGAATGAGAAGAGGGACGGAAATGTGCTTGAAAAAACTTTGATAAAGTGGTAATGGTAAGAAAAAAAGTGAACGCAAAACGTTTGAAGGATTTTCTCATTGTTTTTTCTTTCATTTTAGTCTGCAATTAGAGATAATAACTAACGCATACTCGTTTATATATTCTTCAGTCGGAAGACATTTAAAAAAAATGAATTTTCATTTCGAAGACACTTATGAATAAAGCACAATAATAGAAATAAAAACTAATTCAAGGTAGTTGTAGTTATAAAATCCTAGTGCGTGTTAATCATAGTGTGAAAAGTCGATGACGGAAGTACATGGCAAGAAAAAAGGTGAGAAATTTCTGCTTATATGAGCACTTTAGTAATAGACTACAACTTTGAAAGATTAAAAACATGCAAGTCTGAGCTCTAAAACACTAAATGAACATTAGAAAAAAAATGAATATGACATACCAAACTCTTGCCTAGTTCCCGTTTTTTTTTATTCTCACTTTCTAAATTATTCAAAATGTCGTGCACATATACACACAAACGCTTTCTAGCTGGCAAACGATCTTTATACTATTCTTTGATTTTGTATGCAAGCCAGTAGCGAACAAGGATTACCTGCGAAAGTTTTATGACAGCTACTTGACCGAAAAAAAAAACAGCTAAACGAAACGAATGGTACCACCAACACCAATTCACTAAGCTTGTAAATATTATAATCGACAACGATAAAAAAAAAGGAGAGAGAGACACAGAGGTGGTGATTAACCTTCTCTACTCACTTGCGCATTTGCTATCGCCGTGGATGGATGGATTAGTTAATGCAGAGGCAGTAGGAGAGGCGATAACGATACTTCGATTTCCATTCATATGAGAAATAAAAGAGAAAAAAAGGGAAAATCGCAAGACACATACGTCGCAAATCAATAGAAGAAAGAGATTAACTTTTCTTTTTTTTTTTTGAAGACGACAATCTGGTGCCTGTACTGTATATGTATGCGCACGAGCACGGCTGGCGCTCGTTATTCATAAGAGAGAAAACAAGAGCGCGAATGTCATCAATATAAGCTACACAAAAAAAAATTTTAAAAAGAAATAGTTGAAGATGGTCACTCGCCATAGTCGCTTGATTGATTTGCTTCAATTTGTTCGACATGACAAGAGTGATCTGACATACACACATACACGCGTACATACACCACTTACTTTTTTTTGTTACTCTTTATAACAACAACTGGTGCATGTCGTCAGTGTACAAAGAGAATTATTTTATGTGAAATTACTTTTTCTTTTTCTTTTTAAAAAAAAGTAATTTCTTTAAAACAAAAAAAAAATGAACATCTTCATGATGCAATCTCTTTAAAATCTACCTTTATACATGCCAATCCTTGTATCTTTCGTATTCTCGATAAGCTCTGTGTTCTTGTTCTTCACCATCTCTTTTGCCAGCGAAAAAAAAAGTATAGAAAGAATGAATGACAACAACTACTTGCGTATTATCTATCCTAATCTTGACATATATATGTTTACAGAATAACGGTTCGTTTTTCTTTTTTTTTTCTTCTTTTTCTTCTTCTCTTTTGATAGATATCTACAAAATATACATTTGTATACACATAACAATGAAAAAAATAAAATAAAACGACTAAATTAAAAATCTTTCATATCGATGATCTCTTTCATAGATGGGTTAACTATCGTATATGTGTACATATTTTTAAATAGCGTGACAGATAGGACAGAAGAACAAACGATTTGTCCTATCGGTTGTTCTTTTTTTCACACGCATTCGCCGTGACGCGAGACGTACGCATGAAAATTAGGATAATGGCAATTTTGATTATCATCGTTCAACTACTAGACTAGTCATATATGTATATATATATATATATATATATATATATCGCATGTGAGAATATATAATAAGAAGAAAAATAATTTTCTTACTTAAACGACAAAAGTAACAATGTTCGTGTCTTGCCAACGGCCAAAAATGACGGCAAAGTTCGACATCTAAAGCGATAAGCTATCATTAATCTTTGATAGAGTGAGTCAAAGAAGGAGTAGCATAAAAAATATTAAGGTAAAAGAAAGAACGACCAAGAATATGCACACCTGTCCTTCTTGTGTTGTTACCATTCTTTATGTATCTTTATCCTGTTATATGAAGAGTTGGATTAACGCTACTACCCTCTCAGTGACCCGATCAATGAACATATTCAAACAAAAAAAAAATGAATGTGTATTATCGCCTCTTCTGGCAAGACATACAATTTGAGTCCATAGAGATGAAGAAAAAAAGAGAGAAAGAGAGAAAGAAGAAATGGATTTCGGTGGTGATGGTGGCGGCGGTGCGCTCTTGTGTCAAACATACACACACAAATCACAATCAATTCTAATACACATCGTGCGACAGACCTCCTCCCCTCTCGAGCCGAGCGGTAATCACTTTTTTCCTCTCTTTCCAAGTAGCAGCAACAGCAGCAACAGCCGGGGCGTCGTGTTCACTATAAAATTCATTCTCGCTCGTCTATCGACTCGCTTTTCCCCTTACCTACCTTCATCATCTTTCTGTTAATCGTCCATTTTTGATAAGATGCCATGCTCGATGTCGTCTCTCACTCTCTCTTTAGATTTTATGCTCTTGTTCTCTTTGTTCGGAGAGTTAATCTAACATAAGGTTGAGTACTATCGATTTCTTTCCTTGTCATCATCATCATCATCATCCTGATTTACGAACGAATAACATGTAAGAAAAAAAAAACTGTAGTAGTTCAACACAATCGTCCAAGGTAGATTATACAGAAGTAAGAACGAGAACAATGTCGGCAGTAATCAGAAGACAGAACGAAAAAAAATCTAGTGGAAAAAGAAGTTTAATTGAGCTTTCGCTTACCGTCTACAAAGCAAGCGCATTTGGCTTGCGATAAACCTAAGCCGATATATAATGCATTATTGAGACAAGAAAAATATTAAGAGAAAAAAAAAGCGAAAAGAATTTCCGAGTTGAGATTAGGAACTGAGCATATATGTGTTGTCAGATTGCAGCGGCTCATTCGCTCTCTCTCTCTCTTTTTCCATTTTTTAATCCAGATTAGTTGTTGGTAATGTATATAGACTGCATTCAAGCGAAGACCGGAGATTAATAATGATGATGAAAGACTATTTTTTCTATGATATTGTATTAAATATGAGATTATCAATATAATCGTTCATTGGATCGATGAGCAAATCATTGATTCATATCTGAATATTATAAGAAGGAAATTTTAATTGATTGATTACTGATTTTTTTTTGTTTTTATCTCTATATTAAAAGATTCAATTCACAAATACGATAGATACTAATCATTGAATGTCAAACAATATCGTTTGGAAAGCAACAATAATTCAATTGTTGAAAGCATCATTGCACATACTGATGAAAATTTAAGTCAACATGGAACAAACTCTATTAGAAAGAAAAAATATTAAAAAACAACAGTTTTTTTTTCAGTTGTTTACTTTTATGCCAACAGTGAATACATTGTTCTCTTAACATTTTATTAAGAATTTCAATTGCACGTTCTGTTGATTGTTTTTGATGACTATCTAATTGAATATGTCGAATTGATTTCATAGTATCAAATGTATGAATCAAGATTGTTGCTAGAATACCTGGATGATTTGAAATATGATATTGTTATGAATAACAAGTATGATTTTACTAGTCTTCGCACAAGAATAAAATACATTTAATACTGAATTTAAACTATGTGAAGCACTAAAAATAATTATTTTACTAAATAAAATCGATTTTAAAGAAAACGAATTTATGCTTCGCATTTGAATTAGTCATAAGATAATTTAAAAATTGTTTAACATACAGAGAAAATCAAACAACGAAAAACTTTTCGACAAATTCAAATTTTTTTTTTCTAAGATTTTAATTAATATAAGTAAAATTGAAATATTAACAATTCGGAAACCTAAAACCATGGGAAATACAAAAACACATCATAACAATATATTTTTAGTATTACTATACGGATGGTTAAATCTGAGAAGAACGCATAAGAAGTTTACGACAAAAACACAAATTTTTGTAATACTCCGATACGTTTATAAGTTGAGAGACAAGCGATACCATAATATTGGTCATGTTTGCATCGATACAAGACCTTGTTCGGTCATGAAACATTGCAAAGCTTAGTGTCAGATCAAATGAAGATACTCTTTCATTTAAGCCGATCTAATATTTTTCAAAAAATAAATTATCTATTGCTTGTTATGACACAGGTAATAATTTCATTCGAAATATCAGTATATGCTCCAACGATTTATATGTGTAAGATTAAAAAAATTAATTTTTTACAAAATAATTAACTCCATAATTTTTATAGATTCATTCTAATTCTTAAATATTTATTTTAATGTTGTAATTCAATTAACTTTTTTTTCATAAGTTTATTATTTCATATAAGTAAAGTACATTAAAAACATGATTATTTCTTCATAAGATATAATCTTTCAAAATCTTTATTCTTTTATCTTATAACTTTATATTCATCAAAAGATCATGAAAATATTTAATAAAAATCTCAAGAGTTTTAATCCGGAAAATGAATATCCGTTTTATTTGAGAAAAAA